TTCGGAAATTTTAAAAAGAGGAGGGGGAAGGGCTGTTATTACATTTATGGTTTTCATGGAACTTTCCCAAAATAATTTCTTTGCAAGATGGTCTATGTTATTTCAGCAAAGTTTAATTTGACAGACTTTGTATCGTGTCATGTTTTTCATTTACTCACCTAGGGTGATAAGTAAAGTTGTTCAAAAAATGATGCAGCATTCTTTTAGCTCTGTTAATTTAGTTTAAAAGGTATTCGAACGGAAATAGATTTAAAGTTGTGGCCTAATTAGTACAAACGTGAGAATATTTACAGTGACATGTTAAATAAGTGAAGTTTCCAAATTAGAAGAAATTGCTGACTAGTTCGGTTTTTTCAAAATCATCAATTTTCTTTGTTATTAAAAATTTTGTGCAAATCACGAATATTCCCTATACACTTTCACGGACTTTGTCCCCCCTGTATTCTATTTTTTTTTGGATAATTCTCTCACCGAAATAAAATGTTCGAAATTTTTCGTGTTCAGGATTTCATTTATACGAATGCTCTTACGATATATGTGTACAAAGTTTATTTCGTCGTGCAAGAAATCACAAAATAATTAGAATACAAAATACTATACATGACAATAACAAATTTCTTTGCAACTGATAGGAAGGTGCGAAGAATCAGAAATGGTCATCGTGAGTCTGCGATATTAAAATTTAGTACGAGTCAAAATGTAAAGAAAAGACGCTCTAGACAGAAAAAGAAACTTCCTAAACATTTAACAATGAAGTAAGAAATAATATAAATCTTTAAATATGATTTGAATAGGGAAAATAACTTAGCAGTCGGGGGGAAAGACGATTAGGACACAGTCTTTTTTTTAAATGTTTCATTTCATTATTCCGCTGTACATCGGTACGATTACAGAGCTTAAATTTTTAGTTACTGACACATGCAACATCAAAATGCACAATCATTCTTATTCGAGAAAAATAATACATATGTGCGTATTTACAATATAACTAAGCGGTGGTTTTTGATCAATTCACCGCAAAAATCTTATGTTATTTGTTCTCTAAAACTAGTAGTAACTATCCGGTTAACCGGATATCCGGATATATCCGTTATCCGGATAGTAAAATATATAGGTATCCGAACTAACCCTAGGTGAGTGAGTGAGTCTGATAGTCCGGCAGATAAGGGGACCTTTTTGGCCCAAGTTTGATTTCAGACATAAAGTTTTTTTTATTTGTGATTATTCATCTTGGGGTCATTGTCCATCATTTATACATTGGTGTGGAGTTTGCAGCCTTGAGCAATTTTTTTACGGCTCAATATTTGTATTAGTGTTTTTTGTCAAACCTGTGCATCATAATGACGCACAACCTGAACCATAACCTGTTACAATACTATGTTCAGGTTGTGCGCAATCTTGATGCACAAACTACGCAAGCACCTAGCACAAGCACAAATTTACTAGGAAATAAAATCAATAACTTTTAGGTATTTGTTGAGCCCAGCTTTGGGTCGCGACCCATATATATACAGTATATTTCAGAGTACTATTTCAAAATACCCGTTTTTGTTGCAATTAACAATACAAGCCTGCTAATGCAGTCGCCAGTGGTTCAAGTGGATATACAACCGGTGGAGAACAGTCAATTATTTGTTAGCGAGAATTGTTATGTAGCGGGATGATCACGACGACGCAGTGAAAGATAATGATATCACGAGAACAAGAATTAGAAAATTGCTACATTTTATAGTATATCCCTGGGAAAGAATGTAGTTCATTCTTATGTTCCATGCTAATGCTTTTCAAACTACTAAAGACTCTCAACACTTTTGCTTCTTCTCTTCTATAAAAATACATTGTTATTATATATTCGCATTTCCATCTGTTTGTTCGTGCTCCCAGATAACCGATCAGCGGCCTCCAAGAAGGACGGGGTCCCTTTTTAAGAAACCCTGTCATAAACTAAAAGAGGCGACCGTGCTTCTCTTGCCTGTTGTCATGCTGTCCCTGGAATTCAGCTACAACAAAAATTTCACGAACACGGATTTTTAAATTTATGATTTTATTGATATTCTCAACAATGAATGATATACGGGTGGTAAAATGCCAAGTTATTCCAACAACATCATCAAGTTTTGCAATTTACAACCAATATTTTGTATGTAACTTTGTTTGACAGAGCCCCAAGAGCTCTAACTACAAATATCAAAAATGTGAGGCTAAAAAAGTCACACTACAACATTGTCAAATGTGCGGTATTTACGATAAATAACAGGTTTATCAAAAAGAATTACATGAAAAATGGTAAAATAAAGATCAATTCAGCAATATCTACTTGGTGATATGTATCTGTTGATGATTTTATGTGTTTGTTTCGGAAGTTTAATAACAGAATTAATTGTGGTTGTTGGGGATGTTTTAAAAAAAGGTTGCATGGAAAAAAGTTTTCACAAAATGTCAAGGTTTGATAGTAGTAGAGAAGTACGAAAAATACTCCCATGTTTTTTTTTTCATTTGATAACCACGCCACAGAACTTCCCCGATAAGTATACGCAGCAAATGCGAGAGGCAGAAATGCCAAGATGGGATTTCATCGCATTGCAAACCAATATTAGCAATTCTTATATCGTCACGCTAATAACGGAATTGCGTAAGTCATTTTTAGCAGTTTTGAGAAAAACGTCCTAATGATATTGTTATGCCATTGGGATTCAATAATTTGCCATGGTTCAATTTTTTGATCGTAGCCTGATTCAAGTTAATTTGTCTGACGCAGTTAAGTGACGTCATAATGACGCACTGTGACTTAGGCAGAAATGTGTCTATGACTTGGGGACATACGCAATTTTGCAACTTTACTATATGCACCAGTCCTGAAAACTAAACATTCCAAAAACGAATGTAATTCTCAGTATCTCCAATGTCCAATCCCCAAAATAGCTAATCAGTTTTAATTACATTATTTTTTATGTTTGAAAATATATATTTCATCAATATAACACGTTCTGCACACCCATCGAAATAAGATTAAGATTAAATATAAAGAATAAAACAGCAATACATCCAATATAAAAGCCAACCAAGGTGAATTGGACTCGGACAGTGAATATCACAAGTGCACGCCTTCCTGTTCTGTAGTATAAAATAAAATTAATACGCGCTAAGCTAGAATCCGAGATGCAAAAACTCAAAAATACTTCGCCGATGTTATTTTGCCTTTGTGACGTCACAATAGTCCTGCGGTAACAATGATAATTCATTATGACGAAACAATTGCACAAATGTGCATGTCATACTAAATCTCCAGTTTTATGGGTTTCGGAATTCTTAAAAATTAAATCTGAGTTAACAGACAGGTGCGCAGCATTACATAAATACCTATTTTATAAAAGACTCAAAATCGCCAAAAATGACTTACGCAATTCGGTTATTAGCGTGATGATATATAGGCTATTTGCGCATTCCCATCTGAACAGCGTGGAAAAGATTATACCCATCTACACACTTTAAGACTATGTCAGATGAGCGTCATATTATCAAATATCAGTAAAGGAATAGTGCAATGGGAAAAGACATATAAGGCGGAACTTTCAGTAGTATGCAATCAAATAATCTTATTGTAGAATATATATTTAAAAACATTTCGTCACGCCAACTGCAGTCCGAATTTTTTTGTCTCTGGCTGAGCATAGATACCAATTGGCACTCATGTAAACTGGTAAGACTGTAAGAGGCACGCGTTGGAGCAGATACTAAGAGTATTCATCCCCCAGCTGTCATTTGAGTGGGTACTGCTGTTTTTATTGCAGATGTTACTGATCTTTTCGTATTAAAGATTTACTGGCATCACCGATTTAAGGATGTTGGAAACCAACACGCAATATTACAAAACTTACTTTCAACACGCGGTTTGAATGAATGAAAAAGCTGGAACTAGTATTCTTTAGAACAGCATACAAATTCTATGGAATGAAATCTAAAAACTAAACAAGCACGGTATGTTAGTCGTTGACCATGCAGTTATGAAATAATTGTTTTTAACAAAAAGGCGCTCCTGAATTATTCGTACCAAGATGGCGCACAACCTGAACATTGTATGTTTACCAGGTTAGGGTTCAGGATGTGCGTCATCTTGGACCGAATACTTTAAATCCACTTAAAAAAATTGCTCAACATTATATACTCCACACTCACCTGGGTATCATTATATATGTCATATACAATATATCTAAACAATAAAAAAAACTTTATGTCCCAAAACAATGTTAACCCTATCACATCGCATCATGGGAATGGATCACTGACCGACAATTGGGCTCATATCCCGAATTGGACACGCGTCGGGCGTCGGACCGTGTTGTATGGCTTTATGTTTATAGTCAGCTCAACTCATTTGGAATTTATTTAGGCTCTGTAAAAACAATGGATACATCTATTTTTCGAATGTATTTATGTGCCACAATTCTGGAAAGGGTGTAACATGGCACCTCTCCATTGCAATATCAGAACTATAAATTTTCTACTAAATGGGATACCAATATAATATTAGAACTAATTATTGCTGTATTGCATGTGTGAAGGGGACAATATGGGATTTTTAAAATTATTATATATATATAGAAAAGCATACTTACCAATCAACCCTGCAAACAAAATGTTCAAATACAACTGTACAAGCTGAGAGCTGCAAGAAAATATATGGGGGAAGGAACAAAATTAAAAATAATAAGCGATGAGTTCATTGATAAGTTACTTGATAAATCTTTTATGCTTTATTACTGTATTGAATATGTGTATAGTGTTATTTCATTTAAATTTTGAGGGTATCAGAAAAAAAATTAGTTGATAATACCGGTATCGCATCCTGCACTGCAGAGCCTATTTTCATTTCAGCATTTGATTTAGTCATACATTACAGTAAAATGGTATCGGTATCGCTCTACTTGCACAACAGTATTTCAATATTCATGATTCTTTGATTATACAATATAGTCTATAGTAGCCTATAATTCTTAGCACAGTAGCACTAGCTCGTTAATCAATATGTCCAAAAAGTTTGATTTTGTGATTTTCGGAGCATCTGGTTTTACTGGGAAATATGTCTGCAAAGAACTTCTAAATCAGGTTGGTGACATGAATGGAAGAATTGCTCTCGCTGGAAGAAGCAAAAAGAAGTTAGAAGATGTGTTGTGTTGGTTAACAGAAGATTCTAGCTTGTCTTTCGACATCGATAAAATAGGTTTCATCATCGCCAATGTAGATGACAGCCAATCTCTTCTAAGCATGTGTAAGCAATCCAAAATTGTGTTAGATTGTGTTGGTCCATATAAATTTTATGGCGAAGCAGTGGTTAAAGCTTGCATTGATGGTGGATCTGATTACGTTGATATAACAGGAGAACCAGAATACATAGAAATGATCATGACGAAGTATCATGATGCTGCTGTTGCAAAAGAAGTTTACATAGTAAGTGCCTGTGGATTTGATAGCATTCCGAGTGAGCTGGGAGTCATTTATGCCAAAAGAAATTTTAGTGGAACCCTCGCAACGGTTGAAAACTATTTTTCAACCAGGGTAGGACCAAAAGGACTGGGCTTAAATTTTGGAACATATGCGTCAATAGTCCATATTTCTTCCAATTTTGATCTTTTGGCAAATTTGTTTGCAAGAAGCTCTCCTCCTATATGTGGACCTGAATTGAAGCAGAAGAATATTCATTATGATCGCAGGCAAGAAACTTACGCTGTTCCATTTCTGGGTGCTGATCCAATGCTTGTTAGGAAAAGCCAACAGTTTTATTCTGAAAAGTACAATGAAATCCCTCTGCAGTTTACTATGTATCTCGCCACTAGTTTTGCAAGGATTATTGCAATTATGCTGTTTGGTATCATATTGAAGATTTTCACATTGACTTCATGGGGAACTAAGCTTCTATTGGATCATCCTAAGTTTTTCACGGCTGGTGTCTTCAGCAAAGAAGGTCCCACTGAGGAGCAAATTGCTGGAAGTGGATTTGAATTTCTTATGTTCTGTGAGGGATATAAGAAACAAATTGACACTGATGAATTCAAGGCCAAAAATGGGTCAAGTGATTCACTGGATGCGAAAATGACAGTGAGAATCTCTGGTCCAGAAATAGCATATGTATTGACACCCATTGCTGTGGTGCAATCTGCAATTGCAATAGCAGAAGAGAGGAGTAAATTACCCTCGAATGGTGGTGTATATTCACCTGGACCAGCTTTCAGAGATACAAAAATAATCAAAAAATTACATGAACGAGGCATAAAATTTGAAGTTTTGGACTGAAAGTTTTTTGTTCCGAATTAGTAATTAGTTTTTTCATGTTTTTTGAATTCTAGATTTCTATTGATTAATTACTTAATTATTATTTTATAATTGATAACACTGTACATTTGCTATCAACATTAATTCATTCTGATATATAAATATTTTTTATAATATACAATTTTTAAAGAGTTTTCTTCAAAACTAATTTTAGTTGATTGGGATGTGTATCTTAATGCAATTTATAATATTACACTTTAGAATACTTTATCGATTGTTATTTAAAAAATTCTGACTAATAATTTCCATGGTAGAATGCTCTTTTGCTAGCTATCTAATGTATATACAGTATATACTTAAATGAGTGCAATTTCTAGTGAAACTAAAAAGTGCAAAATTTGTTCCATTAATTTTTTTTCTATATTGTAGCAAAAATATGATTGTAATATACATGGTATGTCACATCTCGAGACATTTTTCTATAATTTTGAAAACATAAATATGCTTGAATTTTTTTGCAGGCAATATTGCCATTCGTATACACCAATAGGTTGTCAGTTTTGATGTACAAGATAGAGATATGGATGGAGATCTCCCTTCATCAGTTTCTGTGATTAATTTGTTGAAAATTAATTTTGTCATAATATCTATACTACCTATTCATATTATGTAATGCCGATCTTCTTGCTTTTTTAATTTAACAAATTATATTTTTAATAATTGCTAGATATTAAATTTTCAATAATTTGTAATATTGAATATATGGAATAATATGGCGAAGGAATATGATTTCGTTGTATTTGGTGCATCTGGTTTTACTGGGAAATATGTTTGCAAACGGCTTATTAAAGACTCTGAAGGGGAAGAAGTGAAAATCGCTTTTGCTGGAAGAAGTAGAAAGAAGTTAGAAGATGTTGTAAACTGGCTATCAACTGATTCTTGTTTAAGTTTTCCTCTTGATAAAATTGGATTAATCGTTGCCAATGTTGATGATCAACAATCTCTATTGAATATGTGCAAACAATCAAGTCTTGTTCTAGATTGTGTTGGTCCTTTCAAGTTTCTTGGGGAAGCGGTGGTCAAAGCTTGCGTAGAGTGTGGATCTGATTATGTCGATGTAACAGGGGAACCAGAGTTTATGGAACGGATGTCAATGAAATATCATGAAGCTGCCAAAGCTAAGGGAGTGTATATCATTAATGCATGTGGCTTCGATTGCATACCGAGTGAACTTGGCATGATTTTCGCAAAGAAAAATTTTAATGGCACACTCTCTACTGTAGAAAACTATTTTTCCATGAAATTTGGCCCCAAAGGAATGACTGGAAATTATGGGACTTATGCGTCATTAGTTCATGGCATTTCAGATTTCAACTCATTGAAAAAATTGCGACAAGCTGTATCTCGTAAACCACTGCCTTTATGTGGTCCAAAATTGAATGTTAAAAGTATTCATTATGATAAAGAACAAAAAACATATGCTCTTCCATTTTTTGGTGCTGATGTTTCAGTAGTAAAACGAAGCCAACGTTACTTTTTCGAAGAATGTGGGGAAATACCTGCTCAATTTGCAATGTATTTTGCCTTGAGTTTCAAAAGAATCGTTAGTATTCTTTTATTTGCTGTAATCCTGAAGCTCTTCACATTAACATCGTGGGGAAAGAAACTCCTTCTGGATAATCCAAGTTTCTTTTCAGCAGGTGGATTTACCAAGGAAGGTCCAACAGAGGAGCAAATGGCAGAAAGTGGATTTGAGTTCTTTATGAAATGCAAAGGATATAAAAAACAACTAGATTATGGTGAATTTACAGAATCAAATGGTGTAAAAAATCCATTGGATTGTGAAATGAGAATGAAAATTAAAGGCCCAGAATTGGGGTATGTTCTGACTCCTATTGTGATGGTGCGAGCTGCTTTCACTGTGAAAGATGAGAGATCAAAATTACCAGAGGGTGGTGGCGTGTTTACTCCAGGTCCTGCCTTTAGATCAACTGATATAATAGAGAAGTTGCAGAAGAGTGGAGTTACATTTCAAGTTATGGAATAAAACTTTACCATTTACTATGCATACTAACATAAAATGCATTTACAATTTTACATATAGTTTATGAAACAAAGTAAAAAAAATTATATTATTTCAAATTCTAAAATTGCAAATTATTACACTTTTAATTGTATTACAGTTTATTATATTCTGGACACTGTAATTTATTTGATGCTTAATTTCATTAATAAATGTTTTATAAGTATTTATATACATATTTCGATCAAGCAATATTTAGGATATTAATTTAGTGCCAGTTTATAGTTGATTTCTGCTTGATTATTTAAATTTGTCCGTTTGCTGAGAAATCATTGATTTTTCATTCATCAACATATAAGAATTAGTTTTATTGTTTATCTTTTTAAAACTCTTGTTTAAAGCAATTTAACTGTATTGCTGACCAATATGCTATTAAATGATTTTGCATTAATTTTACAGATCACCACTTTATAGGTATAGGTCTTTTAATTTTTTGACTAGTTTTCATCACTGTTCATCATCATGAACTGGAATGTTGTGAACATAGCATTTTTGGCTGCAACTGTTGGAATAGTACAAGCTCAATTGAGCAAAGTTGACAGACCTAGAGGTGTATCACTAACAAGTAAGTTAACAAATTATGCCTTTGTAATTCATGCTAGATTGAATCTTGAATTGTCATCAATTAAAAAAATGATCTATTCTTTTATTTATTATGATATACAACTATACAAGTGCTCTTCAATCATTTTATCTCCATGAAACCTGTGATATGCTATTGAGCTTAATATGGAACCCCATTACATAAAAATTCAAAAGTTCTGACTAATTGTATGGAGACTCAATATTTTGACACTTGGACAATAACACAGAAGTTAAAATGCGAGAAATTTATTCTTTAGGCTCTTGCATTTCTCTCACAAACTTCTAAACATGGCTCTATGTTGCTCAATCCAATATTTATGCACATATTCACATTGTTCTGTTTTTGTTCTTAATAATGGTTAAACCAGGTTATGCTGTTCCATATAAATAGGTGTTGGGAAATTGACATAGATCACTCAAAAACGAGGAACTCTCATGGAACCCTAATTTTTTACCCTATGTATGTCAGGATAAAGATTGTCTGCATTTGATATATTCTCAAAGCTGTCAAAGTCATTCCGAATATTAATGTCCAAAATTGATTTATTATAATATCATGTGATCACTGTCAAGTCACCTTCAAATCAATTCTATTTCAGAAAAGGTGTTTTATGATCCAAACAAAAATTTTGCTTGTTTTGATGGATCTCGAACTATTCCGTTTTCTCAAGTAAATGATGATTATTGTGATTGCAATGATGGATCCGATGAACCTGGAACATCAGCCTGCCCAAATGGACAGTTTCATTGTACAAATGCAGGTATTTTACATCATAGTCCAATATTATCTCAGAGGCAATAATCTGATGCAACCTTGATAATTTCATCATTCTCAAATTTGAGGGAGATCTGCCCCTGATATAAACAAATTTGGATTGAAAACTAGGCATTTGCATGCTTTTTTACGTTCCTGTTAAAACTTTCGAACGACTGAAATTCCTTACTTTCGGAGCTGCATATTGTAGAAGCTCAAAATTTCAAATCTCAGACTTTAGTCCAGCTTTATTAGGTTCAGATAATTTTTTAATCTTCTTCTCAATTTCCTCAGGATATCGACCGTTAAATATTCCATCATCTCGTGTTAATGATGGAATATGTGATTGCTGTGATGGAAGTGATGAGTGGAAAACTGAAGGACTTTGTACTGGTAAGTTGCTTCACTCTGATGAACATAAATTACCTAAATCAGGATATCGAAACAAACACTAAATTTATTTGGATTTTGTTTGAAATATACATATCTGAGTTTGTATGAACTGGGATCAAAGATAAATGTAGATTGACAATACAATAGTCAAGGCTGGCATGAATAATGCTTGAAATGTTTTATTAAATAGTTTATTTTACTCAAATTGATGAAAAACGTCTTTATAAAGCTCAGGTTGCCTTGTGAAATAAATAAAATAGCTCTCTGTGGTTACCCCTAACTGTGTTTGTTACTTGCAGTCTGGAAACTAACTGCATGTTTTGTGTTAATCAACTCTTACATGACTTCCTAGATACATGTAAAGAGTTATGGAAAGCAGCAAGAGAAGATTTACAGAAGCAAGCTGCAGCAGCAAGCAGAGGTATTCAAGTTCGTAAAGAATATTCGGACAGGGGTATTGCTCTCAGGAATGAAAATCAGGTGGGTTTCTCTGAGGTGTCCTGCAGAATGACTAACTCTGGGATAGGATTTTTATATCTTGGAACTTGGAAGAGAAGAGACGAAGAATAATATTAGGGATCATTTATATGGTGCACTAAAGCCTCCTTTCCTCCAGTGGCCAGACTAGGTCGAATTTAATAACGAAAGCTGATATTAGGGCTCAATTATATGGGGTACTAAGGCCTCTTGCCCAGTACAAGTTAGGTTGAATTTAATAACGATTCTTAACCAAAAAATCATTTCATATACATGGGGGTGAAAGCCATAAGCAGACAGTGGTCATATGCATTACCTTATGAAAACAAAGTCGATCTTCTCACACTCAATTGACTGCTTAGAATTCGAATTACAAAGGTGCGATAACATTTAACACAATGCACTATTAAAAATGCAATCTAACCTTTTTCACAGAAAAAATTAGAGACAATGAAAATTGAAATTGAGGAGATCAAGAGATTGGAAGATGAAATTCGAATCAAAAAAGAAGAAACAGAACAAGCAGAAGCTGTAGCAAAGGATACCGAACAGACTGCATGGAATGATTTCAAATCCAGAGTTCAAAAACAACAAGAATCAAGAAAAGCTGCAGATGCTTTTACTGAACTTGATTCAAATAAAGATGGAAGGTTAGTAGTGTGCAGAATATTATTTTGCAACTTGTGTTCTAATTTTCCAACAACTAAGAAAGATGATCTTTGTGAATTAGGCAGTACAGATAAATATTTATAGAGTCTTACAAAATAATTTGTATCTATGAATCGCTACATTTTTGAGGGATTTGCTGTTTTAGTATCTGTAGCATATATTGGGACATTGGACTATGCCAGAGAATATACTCCAACAAAAAATTTCCATGACAATGTAGGTAGTGTTCTACCTATTGATAAAAGGAAATTTTTTTGTTGTTGACGCTAACATACATAATAACTTGGCATAACTGATTCGTGTCTTCCGTATGCAGCATTTCTGTTGAAGAAATGAAATCTCATACAGAACTTGACACAAATTTGGATGGTGTTCTAGCAGATGTTGAAATCAAGGTAATTTTTTAATTTTTTACTGATTTCATACATCTATGTTTTAATCAGGAATTATTAAATATTTACCGGTATGTATTTTCAATTTTTCTGAATCGGAATTTGAAATGTGTGATATTTTAGGAATTTTTAGTAGCAAATATCCGTTTTTTTTGTGTAAATTTCGTTTTTCTAGATCCTGAAGTTATGACTTTTGTCCACTGTCATATAAAATTTGACATATATATATTTTACGATTTTGCCGGACAGTGTATCAAGTTAAAAGATAATTAAATGAGTTGCAAAGTGATGTATTTGACCTAGGGTGTGTAACTCTTAATACTGGAGGGCCAAATACAAATAACTGGGTGAAACCGCGGGCCTCTATTTAAATTAGGCTTCCTAGTATTTGCAGGCACAAAATTTATGGTCATTGAACTTATGACATGTGTTGTTTACTTCGCACAAGCGAGCTATTGGGGCATTGTAACTTCATAGTCATTGATAATAAATTGGACTTAGGTATAGACGCAACGCAAAGGGATCGGCATTACTTGTACGTAATAGATTGAACTAAATTAAAAACTCGTTTCACAGGCCACACACCATTCAAAATGGGCACTTATTCGCGGGCACACAATTTTTCTCGTGGGCCGCAGGTTGCACAACCCTGTATTAGACTGTCAAACTAATTGAATTTTGGCATCAGACGTTTATACCTACTAAAAAAAAATCCTTGACTTCATAATGCTTTCTTTCATCAGGAATTATTAGGAGGTGATATGGCTGAAGCACCATACTTTATTGAAAATACTTGGAAAATCATAAGTGAAAAGTATATATCTCGTCCTACTGAACCTGTAAAGGCACCGGTATGTCTGAACATTATTGAACTGTTTAAGTTGATCTTCTTAATATTGTTATGAGATGATGATTACCATAAAACAGGTATTTCGAAATTTACCTAAGAGAGCGTGGATGATGGGAACATTTATTCAACGATTGAAATTATACTTTCTGGTACTGGGAGGTGATGTTTGAATGAGTGGTTAGCTATTAGTTTAAACTTTTTTATTGTCTCTGCTCCTTGAAACTGATTTGATTTTTCCAGATGTTTAGTTTTTATTTGTGATTGCATGAACGCATGTTGTTTTTCTCTTGGATAGATTTACTTCAGTATAATTATATTCTGGCTAAAAATTCTGGAATCCAAAACAATCACTCGAAAAAAATCAGTGTTCCCATTTTATCCCGCAAATGTTAGTAAGAAATTGATGAAGAGGAACACCACGATGATGATCATGAAGATGATGATCTGGATGAAGAGGAAGATGATGATGATTATCATGATGAAGAAGATTTGGAAGATGAAGGGTATGATGATGATCTTAGCGAGGAGGAAGATATGGAGATGAAAGCTAAGCTGGAGGAAGGCGAGCCGCAAAAGGAAATTCTCAAGCTGAACAGGTTGAACAAAGCAGGAAGAAACGGTAAGGTTTATTTGATATAAATTATATGGGACTAGGAAATAGGATTTTTGTTGTTCATTTATTGCAAAGGAGGAATCCATATTAGAGTAGAGTATAATTCAGTCTTCAGAATTTGTTAAGAAATATAGAGTTGTCAATTCATTACCATAATTTAGTACTTTTCGTATATTGTTGCATATATTGAAATTATCCTTGAGATTCCACTCACATTTCCAGTCATAACTAGTCTATATGTATCTATGTTGTTGAAGAAAATTTAGATTTCAACATTAATTACGATAAATTGTTAATTCAAACCACACCACTTTTTATTAATGATTGTTACTGCACTATTTTATATTATCTGGAGAAACTCTTTCTACGATATCAAATATATTGTGCTTTTCTCTGTATTAGCTTAGAGTGATTACCGGTACCTTATATTCCGGTTCAATGATGGAGCAATGGCATGATTTTAATGCGATTATACATGTCATCAATGAATCATGCCTGTCAAATATATCCATTTATGTAAAATAAAAAAGATTAGTAATCTATTCTAAAATTGAGCAACCCAAATTTTTTGGTTAATGTTTTGCTTGTTTTTCTTTTAATTTGACTTTGCATCAATTATGCATCTTTTTGCAGTAAATTATTGACAATTTGTTATTAAAATAAGATATGTGTGATTTACTGATCTGATGCGATGATAATTCGAAGTGTCTATAAATTCTTTCCTCATTAACAGTTTGCTTTGTTTATGTGTGCAAATTTGTAAACCTAACTTTGATGTAATCTATCGTTACCAGTCTGAAACAGACCATGTGAAGAAGCGATGTCGCTGATTTTTAAGTACATTTGTGCTGTGCTATGGTTTTGATTTCTGTAGAGTTCGTGTGAAAATTAGTGGTGATAGTTATTATTAATTAGATCATGTTAGATCATGTTTGGAACTCTAGTTTGAATATTTTCTGATATATGCTTAATACCTTGGTTGCATTTGGTCTCGGTGACTAATAAAAGCTTCGATATTTTGCCACTTCGTCAACGAGAATTTACAATGTAAAGATATGTAAACGAAGAAATATAAAATAATGTTTCTTTTAATTGGATGAAGGTTTAAGACACGATTATTAATAGCAGTTCTTATTTGAACATTCTATCCTAGATGCCCAAGATCAATAAGATTTTTTTGTTTCTGTTAAGTGAAAAAAAAGGTAACGATAATGTATAGCATACTTACAACTGTTGTAAATAATTATCATAAATGAACCAATTTTTTCATTTCATAATTGGGCAATTGAAATATTGTACTGTGTTATATTAATATTCAAATTCTTCATTAAATATTTATATATTAATAAAATTTCTATTTTATAGCCTGAAGAAATACCAGAAATAAATTTACCGTCAGAACCAGTTTGGACTGACAATACTAAGGCATTAATAGAAGCAGCTGAAAAAACAAGACGTGAACATGAAGAACAACAAAAGAGGAAAAAAGATTTGGAAAGAGAAATCGCGTAAGTTTACTGTATATGGTCATAGCATTTGCCCAAAGCAAGAAAGCATGCTATATATATATAATAATCAAATGTTATATCGATGATTATGAGTAGGATTTTTCTATTTATCCTGGGAAGCCTAATCCTATGGCGAACCACAGCCTCTCTGTCCAGTGATCAGTCTATGTCTGGTATGGAAATAGGTAACCAATTATGTGTTTCAGATGCATGGACAATGCAGAGGAACCATCCATCATTATCATTTATCGAATTCTTCTCTTTGTTTATGTAGTATGATTCGAGAAATAGTGTTTTTCTGTAGTTTGTTTCATTTTCTTATCCTGCTGTTTCCTGGTGGCAATCATATTCATGTGCTATAACCAATTCACAGTAGCTGTTTTGTGTTTTAAAGTAATAAAATAAGTATTAAGCGTATTACATTTGTTACAAAGCATTAGGACAATGTACTGTTTTAATTTCCATATTCGGTATTTGATACATTCTTGTTATATTTTTTTTCAACAGGTCTCTGGAGAAAAATTTGAAAATGGATTTCGGTAATGACCAAGCATATAAAGAACTACAAGGAAAATGTTTTGATTTAGATACACATGAGTAAGTTGTTTCAAAGAGCCTGTGGGAATCTTAGTTTACTTCTGACTGAATATCCTACTCATTGAGAAATAGTAAAATATTTTTGTCTAAGAGTCAGAAATTTAATTCCCTAACAGCTAGCTCGTGCAAAGCGATCAACGGATGTCATAAGAAGAACAAGAACCCAAATTTTTGTGCCTGCATCTGCTAGAAAGCATATGTTAAATAAAGGTCCGCCCACAGTTTTACAGTTGTTTGTATCTGGTCCCCCCTTTTTTCAAGGTTGCACACCCCTGCTAAAATCAAACAAACTTCTGTAAGGCGTAGTATGTTTATTTCCTTTTTTTGTTCTTCAATGTACTGTACTTTGCTTCTTCACAGATACACATACAGAATATGTCCATTTGATAAAACTGTACAAAAACCAAAGGGTGGAGGATCAGAAACAAGTCTGGGGTGAGATAATAATTTTTTTTTAAATTAAGATTGTGTAAATTTATATTCAAAAGCGTATCGGTAGGAAATATTTAAATTAGTGGTTTAATATTTAAATTAGGTAAAACGAGCTATATTGATGATATGTCCTCGTTTGTTATAATATTGTATGTAGAATATCATTTTGCGGGCAATATGATCTTTTCCTTTCGTTTCTCTAAGGATCTTCATTTTTCCGGTGCTGCGTAAAAGTACTTATGCTTTCATTTGTACTAAAAGCTTCTGATTGTAACATGATCTACTGTAAATAGTGATTCAATATCATTGTCGAGTTTCTAACTACAAAATGAATGATATTCTAAAACTTTTTCAGACGTTGGGGATCTTGGAGTGGTCCGGAGACTAACAAATATTCCGCAATGAAATATACTGATGGTGTCAAGTGTTGGAATGGTCCTGATAGGTCAACAGAGGTTAGTTATTACATTGTTAAATGTCAACTAATGTCAAAAATCGACCAAAAACACTAAAACTTGCAAAAACTCACAATAAACGTCAAAATAAAACCAAAAACAAAGGGGCCAATCATTTGCCATTATACATGTTTCAAGGGTTGTTAAAATGATATAAAGCTGTCATTATTAGGCCTGGATGTCCTTATCCATATTTGTAGAGAGAGCATTATTTTCTGAAATCGTCACCGAATGTTTGAGAGCACTGAAGCATATTTGTTTTTGACTAATTCTGGTTTTGGCATTTTTACTTTCTGAAGACCAAATATTAACTTTGAAATTTAAATGTTCGCCAAACGATTTTTTTTTCCACCCTACATTTGTCTCATTGTAGGTGAGAATTGCATGTGGAGATGAAAACAAATTGTTATCGGCCTCGGAGCCTTCAAGATGTGAATACCGTTTTGAATTTGTCACTCCTGCTGCTTGCGAACCCATCCATGTTCCAGATGCCGCACATGATGAATTGTAATACAATGACTGAAAAAAATAGGGAAATAGACTTATGCAAAGATTTCTACTTTCATACGGTTCTGCAAAACTTAGATGTCCAGCAGTTTATCTTTGATAGGCTGCGAGTCATTAATACACTCTTGACTTGAAATGTTTCGATTGTTTCAATTGTATGAAAGCCAACAGTTCACATGTTACTTTAATTTCCGCTGTATTAGTTGAACTTATTTGTCAAAATGTTCCGCACAAGTTCTTTTTGTTTTGTCGCTTTGAATTGAAACTTTGCAGTATTGGTTGAAGAGAAGATTACCATTTACTATTCACACACAAATCATTGTAGTTTTCATAGCCCTATTCATAGATGATCACAACATACTAATTAAGTTTATTTATTAAAATGTTAAAGACCCTAATTTTTTTATGTGGAAGGCATTAAAATTTGGTTAGACTTAATGACAAATAATACAAAGCCCTTATCGATTGCACATTTGAAGGCATTGGATCTGAAAATGAGGATAGAAACCAGAAATTACCAGAATGTTTACGGTCTGTGTAATCAGTCTTGCTTACTAAAATATCAGCTTTTCTCATTAAAAAAAATTTTCTATATATATTTACTTGAACTACATAGCATCTTCATATTTCTTGGCATTTTTAATTTTACTAAACATTCAATAAATATTCTATAGTCTCTGCTATGCCTGTCATCACATAGATTTCGCTTTTGATTAAATTTTCTGCGCTTTCAAAAAAATATTGATGGTTATACTTCTAGTGAGCACATTCCGATAATGAATTCTATAATATTTCCGAAATTAATTATTACCTACCTGCACCTATTAAATTGACTGTGTCTGATTTTCAAACGAATTCAACGTTCAATTGATTTTGTGTGTACCTGGCGGCTTCAAATTGAAATAAGTTTCATTGTGTAGTCCTTCCTATTTGCTTTCGGTTGTGAGTAAAATAAAGTGTGATTTATCTGTGCAATCTTTCAGATAATAATGCCCGCTATAATTAAAATATATTTAGGATATTCTGTATCCATTTTAAGTCAAGCGATCAACCATCAAATTGTTATTTCATTGATGTTTTTGTCAAGTTTATTTTCTCCCTATATCTGCATAAGAATATTTATCCCGCTGTTCAGCTTAAGAATTGTGCTATCGCATAGCGCGAATTTATCTTGCTTGAGAACTTTAGGAAATGTTTTTGTTTTGCTAAGCCTAATGAAATGAATATTAGTTATATATTAATATTGTTTCTCTGCATGTTAGAGTTCACATTGTATTAGTTCTTTGCTATGTACTGCTATTTTTGTTGTCACTTATTCAAGCCATAACTTCGAATTGTAAAAGGATGCTGTAGTCAATTTGAAGAGATTATATTTGCATCCAAGCATGTTAGAGGAATAGCTCAAGAAAATGCTATTCTCTTAAAATGTTGCAGTAGTAAATAACAGTAGGGTCCTATATTAATGAGTCATAGTTTAGATATAAAATTAAATGGCGGCTTTCAAATTATTTCTTCCGTCAACTAGCTCTAATTTGATTTCACGCTTTTTGGGGAAATTTATGTATATATAACGTTTAATGTTATCAATACATAATATATCCATTGAAGGATAATTTAACTTCAGTAAGGAAACTCTGTGTATCGGTTTGTGAATGCTAAATTGGCACAAAACTATGATTTTTTGTGTTCGCCAAGCTAGTTTAATGTAAATGTTGATTAGCGCTTGTGAAAACATACTGGATAATTTTTTCTAAGTTCAGAATTTGAAAAAATATACTTATATCGTTATAACTCACTATTTCAGCAATTGGTGCCTACACAGATTTCGAATGATTACATTCTTTAGCAAAATTTTGATATTACCATAAAACAAAATTCATTTCCCATTAGGATATTTTCACTTGTGGAACAATACTTTGAATCTTTCTATTCTAAAATATAATTGTTACGAATGCTTTACCCTTCAATAGCAAATACCCATAGAGCTGGATAATTCCAACAACGTTAGATTTTGAGTATATATTTTTTTTTCATTTTATAAGTTGCATAAGAAACTGATTTATTGGATTTTACAATGGGAGTTTGGAAACCAGATTTAGAATGTCGTATATCAATGCTTGGTATTGCGTTTTGAAAAAATTCGTCGTACTCCTTAAACATGTTTATTCAATACTAACTTTTCTATTGTCCGTAGTCGAAGCAAAATCTAATAAAAAGTGCAATTAAATGAGTCTTATTAGCACCTGATGATGATGTCAGATAGTTTCGAAAGATAGTTGATGTGAATATCCGATACTGATGGGAAGGAACCAAGAACAGTTCGATCAATGCAAATGTATTTAAAAATATTTTTGCATAAAGCCAGTATAAAACCTTTAAAAGTTCAATAAATGTAGCTTTTCGAGCTAATGATAGGAATTATCAAGAAACGGGACAGAAAAAATCTAAAATTTATTCAGTTGAGCGTGCTTCATCCTTTTGTTCAATGAGACGGTCGCTTTCGTTGTCCTGTTCGTGAGAACAAAAATAACGTTTTATAAGTAACAGGAGGCATACTTGAGTTAAGTCACTTCAAGTTTAAAAAAAAATAGCGTTTTCTGGAACCGCCAAGTATTTAATGGTATCCAAAACTTTGCATTACGCTTACAGCAGTAGCACGGAGCGCCGCTTGTGCTCTTTTTGTGTGCCCAACGTCCCCTAGACTTCTCGTTATTATTGGAATTGTCATGTTGCTATGTATTTAGCGGGGCTTCTCATGATAAACTAAGTACGTGTCTATATGTTAAGGGCGAAAGAAGCCATTCAAACATTTTTGATGTCACACCAGATGATGATATTAGTTTTGGACCTTGACAGTAATTTACGATTGCACTACTTGGGAATTTGTTTTTTCATAAGATGTACTTTCGTGCATTTTCCCCAGCATACTAAATCATACGTATACCAGAGGTTGACGTTACTCTAGCTGAGTATGCCAGCATACTTTTTCGACTCACCTTTTTGTATTCTTGTGAAAGAGGCTTTCGGAGAAATAGAGAAGGTAGTATGCCCAGAATAGATATTCCAGTAAGTATATACATGCATACAGAAAATCCCACAGCAGGTACTAATGCGCCCGAAACCATGGGCCCTGCAGTGAAATACGTATACAATATTTGAAAGAAAAAAAGATATTTGTGTAAGTATTCTATGTATCGAGGTAAAAATGCAGTGCGATTGAAATGTCAGTTCGAATTTTATGTGAGTATTCGAATATTACACGCACTTGCAATAAATAACTTAGACATTAATGGTGTTAGGATATATAGCTGATTATTTAAAACATTCTATGATTAGTTTGATTCCATCCCAGCAGTAAAAAATATATGGCAACGATAATATTTTTCAGGGCATAATTTTAATGCACAAAATTACAAATCTCGCTTTTGCAAACAAGATTATTATATAAATGTGAAATGGATGCTGTTTCCACCATTCTGTTCTGTTTATAAATATATATACCACTTATAATTAAGCAAGTTTGCATATTCTTATAAAATGTACATAATATTTAGTGACACTTCTTTGTTTTTGAATTAAAAAATATCTCACCAACTGCAAAGACAGCGCAGTAAGCAGCGTCGGCAAGGGCGTACGCACTCCCGTAAAATGAAGGTCCATGTCTTTTATCAGCTAAATATCCTAATATTTGATATGCCGATGTACTGATCATTGCACCCGAAATTCCGAGGATCAAACCTGGCCCGAATAAGTCGTAGAAACTGCAAAAAAAAATGTTACTAAAAAATATTTCCCATCCAAATAGTCCTCATTTCTGTATAACGGAATATTGTTGCGTATTTTGAACATTTTTTTGTCATACCTTTTGCATAGAGGGTAAGTTGAAGAAGATATTGCAGCAAAGAAAAACGACAGAAAATTGAGTATCCATCTTCGTTTTGTAAAATTCAAACATCCAAGTATAGCTATAATCACCATGTAACCTCCGTTCAATGGCAAAAACGCTGCTCCTGTATTGAATAACTACAACATTGACTTCGAACAAGTCTGTAATTATCCCGGGAGTGGCATATGCATATCCTAGATTAGTATTTCATATCATTAGCTGACCTGAGTTTGATAAACAAAGCGTAATATTTGTCAGGAATCTATCATATAGCCAAGTGAAAAAAATGCTACCTCTTTGGTATACATTCCCGTTTGATTATTACGTTACGTAATATATGATAAGTTGTCAATTTTTGCCTGACATGTAACAAGCGGAAAAACAAATGCAATGTAGTTATGCTTACTATATACTGGGGCATTTTCAATAGTTAGTGGCGGTTTCAAAAAGTTTCAAGATTTTAAAAGTCTAAGGTTTCAAAAGTCTGGAAAACTGTACAATGTGGATTGTACAAGCCAACCTTGATCCGATAATAATAGTTCAGTAATAGTTTTGCAATACCATTGACATAACGCAAAATTTTTTTCAAATCATTAAAAAACTTGCAATTTGTTTTCGACATTATGATGATTCAACGATTGCATGCTTTATATCATAACTATGACCTAACCATATTTTATCTCTATCTATCTAAAGTGATGAATCGATTAAACAATTTTATATTAAATTAATGAAAAAGTATTTATGCCTGCCACACTACCGACACATTTAGGTCTACCGACCGGGACGATGGGACAGATTGTCAAAATCGGGACTTTCCCGGCTTAATCGGGACGCACGATGGCCCCATTTATAGTGCAAACTTCTATGAATTAAAAAAAAGCCCCGTCACTTTGGGTAGACTTGGCGCTAGCGAGAGCAAAAATATGAGGAGAACCGATCTTCTCTGTGAGATATATTTACCCAACATCCAGTCTTCTGCACACATTGTTCTTTTCATCCATATAGGTAAAACCGATGCAAGTGAAGCCATAGTAAATTGCCCGAAAATTATAGTTGAACATGCCAATAGCAGATACGGATCCATGAGTAATTTTTTATACGAATTGTTGCTTGTTCCCTATATAACAATAAAGCTGTGTTATTAAAGATGGCCTATAACCTGCGGTTTGAAATCATGTCATTATCAATACTCACTTTAAAGTCAGAACGACGCATTCGTCTAGTACACAATTGCAATATCAAAAGTATAAACCCCATCGCCGTTATTACGAGAAATGGAGCAGGTTTGCCTCCAAATTGATATAAAACTCCACCTAGTGCCGGGCCAACTACAATAAATAAGCAAACAAAATTATGTTGTCATATATATAATTCCTAGAACCATTTAAAAACGTCGGGATCACCAAACTATATAGAGTTGTGCTTGTCACTTTAAATTGCATAAAATGGCCCAGGGTTAACTGACAAAGGTTTTGTACCAAATTTTGTACCATCGATCACTGTCCATAGATAACCTTGCGGTAAAGGGTAGACTTTACGACACCTTTATTGGCTTCGTTAATCAAAACTATTTATGGCTACTCCAGGCCTAACATTGAAAAGATTGCAAAATATGAACTTTTCAATTGAGATTATAAACACATATTTCACGAAGTATATAACAAGAGACAAATTAAGTTACTTGCAAATCCCATAGTCATTCCAAAGAGAATAAAGCTAAGCATTCTCCCTCTCTCTTCATCATCACGAAACATATCTGCAATCAAAGTCATACCACCAGTTGTTGCCATAGCCGAACCAATTCCTTGAAGCGCGCGCGCGATGAACACTCCGGGATATGTATTCCAATATGCAAATGCTGTGATTAGTGCAGGAATGAATGGATCATTAAATATAATCCATAATCGACCGAGAAACACTAGAAATCATATTGAACCAAGACATATCATAAAAGTGGGTGCAATAAAAGTGAAATTTCAAATGAAAATGAATCGTTGATCGTTTTTAATTGACAGGCATGTAGCACTAATAGCACTTATTTTTCTCATAAAGGTTTTTCCATTTGACGAAGAAATCTTCTTGTGTAAATAAATTTATTTTATTGTTTATGTACTAAGATAAAATGCAAGGCCAACAACATTTATTAGATGATGTACTTTTGAGACTACATCAAGTACTTTAACAATTAAGATAACACGTATTATATCACAACAAATCTTTTCGTAGCCTACGTGTTGACTGAGGTATTGCTTGGCGTATGCTGAATCAGTGTGCACCAGTTTACTGTGTTTAATTGGTTTCAGACAGAATTTTTTTAATATAAGCGAATCATTTTATTATACAAAATCATCCAAATATAATTACCTATCATGGCACGAATAGGGTTAAATGTTGTGACTGTCTTATTTACACATAAATACTTTAGCGTAATGTTTACGTCTTTACTTACGTAGCTTATCGAGTTGTGCAGTATGCTTACCCAAGGTTGAAGTCATCATGACGATGTAGCCATTAAACATAACAATATCATATCCGATTTTATCAATTACCGGTCCCACGATAAAGTTTGAAAAGAGTTGGGAAATCTCTTTTAGGGCAATTATGAATCCAATGATGACGTCCTGTTTTCCCGTATTGAAGTATGCGAACGAACAACTTGAATTTACCAGTGTCACCTCAACTTTGGATTCTAAATATAAAAAAACACACACCACCTGTATACATTTGATTGCAAGTTTTATTCTAATGCTGTTACAAACGGATATTTGAGCCTATTTCAAATTTGTCGACAAAGATGATGAATAGAATATAGCAATGTAATTGTGTGAATTATTATCGGGCTAAAGTATTCTCACACAGTAACTTCACGCTATCTATATATTTTTATGCACTAATAAGCATTTATAATATAAACTATATTTGAATACACCACTTGGTGAAAACGATCGATTGAATTATTAGACTTGAAAAAAAAACAGCTTGTAAACTGAGGCAATTATAACACAGACGTAGACAACCAATAAAATGCATAATAATTGAAAAATATTCGCCGAACTTACCATTGATTAATATTGTTCCAGTGGTTTTGTTTTTTCCAACATTTTGATCCAAATCTTTAAGAATGTCAGGCAAAATTGGAGCTGTAATTAAATATAGCTGATATTTATGTAAAAAACAAATGAAATTTGCATTTCTAAATTTCACCTCATATAGTATGTTTTCACATGTAAATGGTACATTTTTTCTTCTGCAAAGATTTCGAATGTTGGTTCGATATCGTTCATATTTTGGACAGTGTATTAAAAATGTTCAGTGTCTTCAACTTCCCTGTTGCATTGGTCGCATATTTCATCTACATTTTTATTGAATTTCGAAAGATGTTTATTTAGCATACCATGTCCTGTTTGAAGTCTAAAAATATTTCTTGTTTGTATTCTTGTGACATTGTTTCCATTAAGATAGCCATCAATTTTAGGAGAAACTATATCGGCTATGACCAGCGTGAATTATATATATAGAAAAATTGCTACGTTCTTAATTGTTAAATTTGTGCGTCAGTGTGCTATAATTCATAAAATATAATGTTATACTTACCAATTATACCATATAAAATACAGTCAGTCAACAGCGTAAAGAACACAATTCCTACGGCTAATGAGGATGAATTTGTGATCCGGTTGCATAATGTACTCAATTTCTCCATTTTTATTTCTAAATTTATGTACTTATTTTCTATCTATTTCTAAAATGTAAAGGTGTTGCTATAAATAAAAATGATAATAAACATGGGTTGTTGATTGTGTATTGCGTCATAAATATAATTATCCATCCGAGCCATAGCCTACTTTGTATTTGCTACGAGATTTGTAGATTTTTTGAAAAATCAATAAAAATACTGGTAAATAACGATTTACCAAAACAATTAATGCTATGTTAAAAAATGCCGAAGAAAAAAGAAGAAAATTTAAAAAGAAAAATATATTGTTTATTCGGAGAGAAGATATCTGATACAACAACTTAAATATATGGCGAAATACGGCATCCGTCTCTGTAATGGTCCATGTCAGGTGTGAAAATATTCAACCAGTTATTTAATTCAGATGCATTGGCGTGATTCCGGAAGAAGTCGTAACCGACCACCGGTTGTGAGAACCCCGCTGTGGGCCCAGCAATCTCCTCCTGCATGATTATACCAGTGTTTTTAGGCTTAGCACTTTGCGCAAACATTAGAGCGTAATTAAAAGAACTAAACCTGTTTTTTTAAAAGTGAAAGTTTTAGTATCAATGTGTCCCATATTAATTCATTTCTCTCTCATTTATGAAATCTACAATGACTCCGAACTCCTGCTCAGAATAGAAACTCGTGTGCAACTGAACTCCGTTTATTGAGAACAACGGCACAACTTGAACAATACAACTTAAACAGCCATGACGACTGGTGAGACAAGACGGATAGATGAGATGCGGCTCAGCAACTAAGTTGTCGCGCTACTCATCATTTGAGTAATCACATCCTCCCGTCAAACAAATAATAGCATAATTATTAAATGTGCAATAAATTAAAACATTATTAATCAATTACCATATCTATCAGATTTTCGAACTGCGTGTGTAGATCGCCGAAGAGGGGAGGTTGCTCTGTTTTCCATTTAATCAGATACACTAGGATTAACAAAGTGACTGTTATCGGACAAATTTCATTATTGATTGGGTCATGGTTGGTGTGTTTTCATATCACCGTTGTTATGGGAAGATGTGTATGGATCAGAAATAATACAATCATAATTTTTTGTAAAGGGTTAGAACCTATCAGGTTCGCTTGTATGCCTCAAATGCCTTCGATTTCTTCGATAAAGACCACCATCTTCAGTTCGGATCAGATACGATCTGATGTCAACTTGTTTTTCAATTCCACCTCTGCGCCATCTTTTCCCACAGTCCGGCTTCATTCTGACCAACTGACCCGGGTAAAATTTCATCAGCTCTCTTGTTCCCCTGTTGTAATATTTAGCTTGAATGTCTTTACGCTTCTTCAAATGTGGTTCGATATTTGTAACAACCTTTGGGCGATGAAGAGATTTTGAAATTGATTGTGCGTCTTCCAAATAACCTTTGTGCTGGTGAACCTGGTATTCCTTCACTCGGTGTATTACGCCAATCGAGCAACGCAGGAAATACATCACTCTTACTCGCAATAGCTTTCATCGTTAAGCTCTTCATTTGTTCCCCCACGCTGGACAATAATTTCTACCATAAATGTGCTCTCTACCTCAAAGTTTACGCTCACGAATATGGAGTTTACTCTCATTGGCACTTTCAGCCCAAGGCTTCACTCGTGTCTTTTTAGTTTGATTGCTTTTACTTGGGTTGACATTTTCCATCGACGACTTCATTGTTTCTGAGCATATCATAGTAGACCATGAGTAGGCAAGGTTTTTGGACTAGGTGCCAAAAATTTTGCCCATGGGGGCCATGTAAGTGAGGCGTAAAAGGGTATATTTTATGAACTTTATTTACAGTGTTACAAAAGCCAAAATGGAAAACAATGAGACTCGCGCCATAACAAAAGTTAATCGCAATCTCAAATTCCTTAAGCTCCGGATGTAGACTCATGAGCTCGACAGCGATCAATACACTTTGCAAGGAGTTAAATCTCGTTCTTGTAACAATCTTCGTCTAAGTTCATTATCGGGTACTTCATCAATTATATTTGTTCTCGCATCAGAAAATTTTTATCTTCAACCACTAAAAATTTCAACGCAATTGGTCCAGTAATCAAAGAGAAAAGCGACTTTTTAAAAACGTGTCAAAGAACAAGAACAACAACATAATATTGAAACGATCGCTATGTCCACTACGTGTCCAATAACTTATTTTGTAACTCCCTGTTGTACGCAGTAGCTCGTAACAACTATATATTCAACTGAGACGTCATTTTTCGTTTTTTACTGCAATGGCTAATCTCTATGAAATTAGCAACGTCGCCAAACTATGTCATGGTATAAGAAGGTATTTTGATTTATTATAAATATAAAAAAAGATCCCGCCTGTAAGTCTGGTTATGACTGCACGACTCACATGAACACAAAAAGTTTCGCATGATTTTTTCTGATACAATTCAATGTCTGCGCATTATTGTTTTCTGCGTGTCCGTATTTTACGAAACCATTATTAGAGTCCATTTATCTTGTGAAATAAGATAGAACTCAAACACAGAAAGCAGCTAGATTGCAAAATAATAAAAATTATGCGTTAACAGAAAAAACATATCCTCGCGAACGTCTGTTCTATATGCAATCAAAATATCTTTCCTGCAAAGTCCATACTTATAAACTAGGTAATTCTCACATATGTCCATATTTGTAAATCTATATATTCTCACCAACCTACATTTGCGCAAAAGCCCATTTTCGCGAAGTTTATTCTCGTAACGACTACGTTTTTGCAAGAATGGTTTATCCGAAATTGAGTTTTCTCATATTACAGCAGACCCATAAACTCATCTATTTGCGCTTGTAGCCACGCTGTGAAGCTTTCGCGGTCATCCATTGTCATCTAGTGACTTGGAGCAAATCTATTTTGAACTTATTTATTTCATATAATTTAGAACATCAAGCTATGGCTATATCATCTTTACAAATTCAACAATGAACTCACAATATATCCATGTATTCCATTAAATTAGACAGGGTACCAAATGGCGAGATTTGATTAGCACATATCAAATTTATCGTGAACAGTGATAATAGCGACAACATAAAATAGCTGCTCCTGGAACACTGCCTCCTGCTTCCTCAACTTTCACTGGGTATCTCTGGAGTATGCTTCAAACTGCTCGTCAAAACAGTAAAAAAAGCCAAAATTACATTTTTAATGCAGCAACACACCTGGCAAATGAATGATGGATCTGTGTTTTCCTGTAACAGGAAACTTTGGCGCGGCAGTCGCGTTTTCTATGATACCGAGAGAACTGAATCTCGATTATCGATTGTTTTCGGGAATATTTATTGTGACAACAGGTCTCTATTTTTGCTTTGAAAGTTCCAATGGAAAGCAAGCAAAAATCATTATGCTCGCGGTATTGATGGCGCGGTCATTTTAAATGGTTCGCATGTCAGTCATATAATAGTATATTTACCAATACTTAACAAGCGCGATCTTCACACACTCCAAAGTAGCCCTGATGAGCATAATCAGTTTACAGTCCAATTAATTACACTAATCACGGATGATTCAATTAGTATTTGGTCTGCGTTCACACGTGTCTGAAGCATATTAACAATGAAAGCTTGCACAAGTGGCCGAGTTGAAATTATAGTGGAATGCAAATTGCTTTTACCAGCTTCGTCATTATAAAACATATGTCATCTTATAGTTTATTTCTAATCCATTATCTTATAATTATTTTGTCAGGCGTCGAAATAAATTCCTAATTTGAGAATATTGGAGAAAAAATGCAGACGCAGGCGTAATACACCAGGGAGTTTCGTTTCGGCGAACGCAGAATTATATTTAAATTTGTCACTTCTTTCTGTGTGTGTAATTCAACTGCACAGTTCAAGAAGGCAGTCCAAAAATATTTTAGTATTATTTGGGGAATCTAGGTAATATGTGTCAAATCGATTTTTTAAATACGCCCGACGTTATGCAAATTTACTTTTTTTTGTTTATGACATCTTAAAGGTTCGTATAAGTTATAAACCAGAATTGATGCGAAATATAGCGTAGTTTTTATTTTATTTCTCGGAAGTGAGACAGATACATTACTACAATCGATCAAAACTAATGGAATTAGTGCAAAGATTCTTCTGCTATTGGTCATGCTGTTCTCAAGTTCTACTGCTTATGGGTTTTACAAAACCGTCGTTGTGCTTTGGGCCGGATTTTTTGAAGACCAGTGTTTACGGTAGGATATTTTTGTATCAGTTATGTTATACGTATTTTTAGAACTTCGAAATTTTTGGGAGGAATAATGATTTGATGTAATCTTTCCCCGGCAAACAAATGATCATATATATATACTGAATTTTTAAATTATTCCGCCGTTTCGTATGAGCTTAATATCTTTAAAATGTGCGTAGCTCATTTCGAAGAATAGTGAGCAATACAGTAGCTAATTATAAAGTCTAGGTTTTATTCCTAGCGAAGATGTAAAACCCATTATATAAGAGTAAAACAAATGCTTTGTCTGTGAAGGATAGTGCAAATGAATTTGTGTATTGCATTTTTTCGCAAATTGCACCATTATGTGAATTCAGCAATATTTTGCGTTCATACTGAAATATCAATAATTTTTTGGGCGAACTTTCTTTATTCGATTTTGATTTGGCATATGCTGACATGATTTATAGTTTTCAAGCTTATGTCTAAATTACGCTCAAAAACAATATCACATTTGCCAAAGATAAGCCCAATATCATAATCCCGTATTCGACTTAAATTTGGTATAATATAACGCCATTCCCTTAAATTTATCGCTGCGTGGCAAACTTTTAGCAATGCTTCTGCATCCGTCGCATCCCCAGAGATTAAAAATAATTTAGCATACGTTGCTTCAAAGTTGGCCATGAACAAAAACATATTATGTAAATCGATCGATATGCTTCGTATAATTCATTGGTTTTACATATCATATAATCAATAAAATATAATACTAAAATTTAAATGATAAAATCTTGCTGTAAGCAAACAATACAAAAATGATCAATTTTGAGAAACTAAAAATAATTAATATACACAATTATATAATTAATAATTTAAATTACACATATATTCATAATTATGTTAATCATTCATTTTTTGGTTTACTCATTAGCTTGACTAAATGATAAGTTAATAATATCTTTATTTTGTTGACTGAAGAAAAGTTTTATAAGATTCAGTCTTAACGTACCCCAAATGTAAGTTTTGTCAAATTTGTAATTTTTTTATAATCATTCTAGGTTAAATTTGTGACTAGTCTAGTCAGTAGACGGAGTAAGATAGAAACACTCTATATAAATTATCATGACGTATAATTAAGATCAAAGTTGTATTAGATGTGTAGCACTTATACAGTTATATTGGATGGTCACATATGCATGCCAATAAATTTTGGCAATTTCGGAATGAAATTTTCCATTGCTTTTAGTATTATAGTGACGATTAAGCGCTAAATTGCTGCTTGGAACAGGTGAGGAAAAATCGATATCCATTGATTTGCAGCAGAGACTCTTTTGAATGTTTAAATCTAAAATTAGTGCAAGTGCTACGAATAAATAATGCAACGACAAATCGCATTTGAAATAATGAGTCACAACTGAAAAATTAATAAATTTTTGCATTGTATTTGAAATCTGTCTGAATTTGTTATTATATTTTTTTGTGAAAGTAATACCATAATAGTTTGCACTCAAGGCTGGTGACGTTTATGAAATGTAGCTTCTTAGTCAGTATCTATAGTATCTTAGATAGAAACGAAAGAAGCAGAAAATAATTTGCTGAAGGGTGATGAAAAAAAATATGAGTCACGAAACGAGTGGGGACATACCGTCCACCGGAAGAAACAGTAAAATAACAGTTGTTGAAAATTAGACGAATAAACAAATAAAAAATAATAGCATTATAATATGAATTTCTTTGTCATTCGGTGGTTGTGAGTAAAAAAGCTTCACGGCTGTAAATTAATGTGATGCAAAATTCGCTGTTTTCATCATAGTAACGCTATATTGTGACTACTTTTAACTTCATTTTAAATATTCACAAAAATATCTGGACATGATAAAGTTTGATTGTTTTGAGTGAAATATTTGTTTTATTGAAACTTTCTTTACGCATTTAAAGGGTTTCATTCAAAAAGTATAATTGTCCAACTTTTCGTACGGTTTTACCTTAAGTAGTGAACTTTCGCATTTATAAGGTTTTGTTCAAAAAGAAAAATTGCCCAATTTTTCGTATGTATGCCTTGGTTACGCCGAGTTTTGGTGGATTCGGGGATTAGAATGACATGTAAGACTGTAAGGGTACCAGAGATCCAGACTAAAGTTAATTCCTAAGCATTAACCGTAACCAATCAGTTTGAAATGGTTCCGATTCTAGTTTGGCTCCAAATCGATCCATTTGGAAGAAGCACATAAGAAGTGTAATAGAAAAAATTACAGAAGAGTAGTCTTACTGAAATTTTTCAGTGGTTAAACCCCTAAAGTAGTAAAAGGATGATTATGTACTGGCGTTTGAACCAAAAAAAATTTGCTTGAATTCCAATGTTTCTACACCGTTTAATATGGTATATACAAGCATTAAAAATCTTTAAACGTTTAGATTTGATTTGCGACGCAACGCATAGATTTGCGTGTAAAAACGATACAATCATTTAAGTCGTAACTACAGAAATAAATCACGTGAACTTGAAAGTGAATAAAAGCACATGTCGCGCGTCTTTGGCAATTTCACATTGGAGAAATCAATTATAGGCCGTTTATATGAAAAAGAGTACCCGCGGTTTTGCCGAATGGGACCAATGTATGTAAATTATTAATGAGTATGTTAAAGTTATGGGTGTACTTGTCAACACCACTATGTAAGTTTGTGTAATCAAAGGGAAGAAACGTTTCCTATGATCCAGGAATGATTGAAAGGTACATGTCCGGGAAACTTGTGATCCTTTGTTATGAACAACTTCCCCATATGCACTGGATACATTTGAACTCTATGGTCATACTGTAATATAAACACATGAATTCGAGCCAGTTTACTGGCGTTATTGAATAAATAATTCGTCTGCTAAAACTTTTTCCTAAGAACTTCCATTACAGTTGTGACTTCAATTATTTCAAGCCTCCTATATCAATAACTATATCATGACATTGCTGTCACGAGGATAAATCCGTTACAATAACTTTGTCAGTATTTTTTCCGCTACAAGTTGAGACCTCACGGTTAAACTTTTTTTAGTTTTTGCTGATTACTGAGCGTATGTATTCAGTATGATCATCCAGGTTAAATTCGTTTGTTGCCATTTTTTACGTCTCGTTTCAAAATATACTGTCAATTGAGTAATACTAACTGAAGCAACGAAGTATACCTTTCTTTCCCATCCTCCCTCGTTTCAACGACTATGTAGAAGAAGATCGCCGTTTGTCGCAATTTTCATGCAATTTGTCTTTGCTTATACATCGCATAATTCACTCTTTATTTAAAGTTCTCACCCATTGCTGTTTTAAATATAGTTCCGTGAACAATCAAAAATTTAGGTGCGTACAGATTTGCAATTTGCGATTATAACAATGATCATTCTCAATCATAGAACGGATAATGTGCAAAAACGACGATATCTGCTCCCAAATATTTACATTTTACTCCCAGGAGAAATTAACGTGGAAAAATTCAAATGTAAACAGTATTTCATCTATTGACAAAAAGATTGATCGTCCAAAACGACTGAACAAAAATATATTTTTTCATATTTTGGCAATGATTACTCAATTAACCACGTTTATTTAAAGTCATAATTTTGACTTACTATCATTTATTGCTAATTCGTTTCATGGAAGAACCTAATCTTTAAAGCAAAATGCCATTTGTTAATTAAAGTGTATTAATTGGGAATTGGCTTGGTAGTATTTTATCAGTACTAAGACAAAATTTGATCACATTAAAGTTACACGAACTCACGGCGACATAGTTTTCTAAACTTTCCTAATTTTTTTTGCAGGGTATTACTTGGCATGTACAAAATTGAATTTCTATGTTTCTAGAATGTTTCTAATTTTCGTCGTAATATGTTTATGACTCTGGCATGATTATGATCGACAGGAAAGGCATTTGTCGCCATAAATTATGCAGAGAAATTGACAAGACAATGTCTCTTCTATCAAAATTTTGCATTAAAAATATTAACGTTAGTTGGATACAAGATTTACAGTCCTTGTAACGAAGATGGCGGAAACTACATTTACAACAAACATGTCGAAAATCTCGGTTCCTATTTTAATCACAACATATGCACAACAAAGAAGACGAATAATATTTTTTTGTGTGTAATTCGTACTTTCTCCCTTTTTATAAATCGAAAATAGGGAGTACATGGCAAGGCATGGTTTCATTGAAGCAAAGTCACGAAAATAGTCCCGACCAACAAGTCGTTAGGTAAACTGTTCGGTGACCTCTATGAATGAAGATTGTTTGGAAATAATTTTCAAAAATACATTGATTGTAATCTCAACAGACTGAAATTTTGTTAAATTATCTAAATAATTATCTAAATGATGATTGACATAGAAGTACAGAAATTATTCTACTTTATGTTGCTTGCCAAATTTGATAAATGTAAAAGGAAAAAACATCCATTTGGGAAATAATTTTGAAATATCCAGTGGTATTATTTCATTAAATATAATCTGATGAAAATTGAACGTACAGGACGCGCTATAATTTAACTGTTCCTGACCGTAGAGAAAATTCAACCCAATATTTGAAAGTGTAATATAAAAATTAAATTTCATTTTGAATAAAGATTTTTTGATTGTATGCCCCAGAGAGTCATATAATGCTGAATGATAATGTGAAAGTTTAGCAATATTTTATTAAATTACTGAAAACAAGTATATATAATCCTACTTTATATGATCATACGGTTTCTTTCAACTTCGTTTAATAGACAGGTGATTTGAGTTTTTGGCGCTCCAGAAGTATGTGTACCAATATGGAAGTAACTAATTTTGTTCGCCTATTTCACACCAATTTTTGTAAAGGGACTGAAACTTATGAGCAGGGGGATATTCACTTGGCTAACACAGACAGTCCCCGAACTCGCAATAGAACTAAAGTAAGGAAAATCGAAATGAAATTATGGTCTAACCCTAACCTAGTACACATAATTTTGGAGTACCGAATTTTCTAGGAAACGTATATTAATGACAAATTATTTTCAATATCGGGCGTAATCCATCACCGTTGTTGTAGCATGAATATCAACAAATAAATGTAAATTGTAGGCTACCATTAAGTGAATATATCAAAAATAGCTTTCATCATTTCAATCAATGGAAATATAAGATAGAAACTAACACTCAGTAAATATTTGATTAATCGAAACACTTTCTAAAAATTTATTATTTCACCTTTTTGTTAGTAGCAAAATCATGGGGGAACTTGAACTTGGCCGACCATTACTATTGGAAGATGCAAAATGTTACAAGTTCTGAGCATCCTTTTCTATTGCTATATTCACCAGATGAAGTATCAAATAGTTTCTCTACTTTTTCTAATTCTCTCCAGATCGAGATATGCGCATTAGGTGTTCATGTAAGAAACAAATTATCTGGTTTCAACTAAGTTCAGCCTTGATTAGCTAATGCGTTTTTCTTTGCCATTAAAACATCATTATTTCCTAAACTATTTCTTTCAACTGCCACAGCTTATCTCCCGATATAGAAATTGTTATTTACATTTTAGCATCTCCGAAAGTCAGGATAATACCGGCTACAAAAAATAAAATTGTCTTGAGAGCTGGAGACAACGTTGTTCTCACTTGCGTAACTACTGGTCATCCCAAACCCAAGATACAATGGACAATACAAGGTGGAGAATTGGACAGGTACATGACTCTGATGGTTTCATTACATTTGAACTTACGACAATTGCACCTGCATACTATTGCACCTATATAAAAAATGTTCGTAAATTGTTTTACGAATATTTGAACCCATACTAACCCTAACCCATGGGTTTTAGCACCCGCATATAGATTGGACCAGCGGATATACACATGGGTTCAAATGTACGTGGGTTCAAATGTACGGTCACCGACTCCGATTACTCGAACTAGGATAATAATAGACCAAGAACCCGAGTCGAAACTAACGGGCCCGAGACTTAACAGGGGAAAGCAAAAAACACGTTTCCGACTGTGTTGCAACAACTTGCAACTGTGCCTTATCTTATATTGGTTTTATGTTTACAAAGCATAAAATAATGCTGTCATGGTTTTAACGCAGATCTCCGTATTTTTAGCGTTTTTCTGTGCATTTGGAGTTGTAACGTCGCCTTTACGTAACTAAAAAACGGGAAATTCACTGATGACAATCTTAAAAAGCATTGGATTATTGTTAAATCAGTGCATGTGTTTTGGGTTTTGAACTATACAAACATCTGTTGCTCAAACTAATAAATATATGTATTTCTTCACCCAATGGTAACCGTTCCTCATCTTAGAAAAACTTATGACATTGCACTCAAAATTATTTTAATATACATCCAGCCGCCGTATGCTCCAAACAAATTAATATAATTATATTTGTGGCAATGATTTAGTGCTATTCGAGTTAGCATAAACAACACTTTCAGCATTTCTAAAAGGTCGACATTGAGAGTACCTCTGAGTACGAGCATTATCTCAACTGATGCTACTGGCAACATTTCATGAAAATATGTATTGTTGAGCGCGAGTTACACATTTCATCACTTCCAATTACATTTTCCATGTTCTAAACTTTTTTTATGCATGTAATGAATTGGGTTTTTATTTTAAAAATATAATTGGCCATCTGTGTCTGAACTTGATAAATAAAAACTTATCTTTTATGAAAGTGCATTTTCGGGAGATGTTGAATAAGTTCAGTGTAGTTTTAAGATGAATGAACTCGTGATTCAAATCACTATGGAATATTCGATGAGAAACTCTCAATACATGCATTCAAAAATCAGTTAATTGCCAAATATTCAAATTTGACAAAATACAATGTCGTCATTCGTCTTTCAGTGTTTGAACAAAATGAATAGTCTTCATTGTCTATTTTATCAGATGTTTCTGTTTTGTTGTCACAGACGTCCCTTGAATTTATACGATCCGGTTTTAAGTGTAAGTAACATACAGCCCGAAGAAGCAGGAAAAATCAGCTGCAAAGCGGAAAATGGAATTGGAAGTAGAGTGTTCGCTGTGACCAGACTGATCGTATATTGTAAGATAACAATAGATTTTGTATGACTGTTTCTACCATTTTAATGTTGAATCTGTTTCGTAGATAGAAATAAGTGTTAAAAAGATTGTCTTTAGACGCTTTCGTGAATTACTGAGTAATTTTGAAATCTTGATATAATTTTATTGTATTATTATTATTAAAGATCATATTATTATTGAATAACTGAACATACAAATAATATCTAATTGTTTGGAATGCACCAATGTCAAGGTTCATTAAATACGGTATTCAATAAATTCAAATTATAAATTGCTTTCGTTATAATCTGAATATCTCGTTTTAACTTCTTGTTCTTTTCATTATCATTGTCACTTTCTTAAGGTTTATATATACGTGTATGCTAATTCAGAAAGTGCAACAAAAAAAGCTATCTACCTCAGAATTTTTTTCAATAACATCTCTCTCAGTCGGTAAATTTTTAGTGCGGAATAAACCAATTTACCGCAATATTGATTTTTCCTGGACGGATTTTTTGACGTCTCCTACCATGGCGTCGAGTGAATAATCCATTATCGAACGAAAATCCTAATGAAGAATAGACTGCCAATCTTTCCATTTGGTCACATAAATATGGGCTTTGATAAATTATGTTTGTTCGGATATAATCTATTTGATTTTAAGTTTTTCCAAAAATGTTAAAACCCATTTATATCAAGTCATTCACAGAGATGGCATGTGCTTAAATTGGTTCGCTCGCTTCTGAAAAGTATCCAAGCCAAACTTGAATATATTTGGTGGCTCTAGTTGTGCACTAATGTTGTAATCGTTTTTTCCTCTCAACTAAATTACTCTTAATGTACTCGAAATGGCAAAAAGTTCATTTGGCAAAGTTGGATAATTAATAACACAATTTCGCGTTTTCCATACTTACTGTACATCTCTCATTTTCAAATATTCAATTATATAACTTTATCCGTTATAAGAGAATTGAGACAATAAGCCCTGTTCCAATTTCACTCTTTCGTGCCCGTTATTTCTAATTTAACCAATTTATATAGCAGTCTTTCAAATCATCAATCCCATTAGCGTAAATTAGCCAGAATGTGACTTAATTGGTTTACAACAGCCGTGAGATTCCAAAAGTCAATATTATTTTTGACAGAAGTAAATGACTCATCGGCCATTTGACGCAATATATAATGCATATTATTATTCGAAGGGAATTAAATTCTAATCCAGGGTGAAAATTACAAAATATTAATTTTTACGAATTTCTTTCTGCCACATCGCATGTTATGTACAATATTAGTTATATATGAATAGGAACGATTATTTCTACTTCTACAAAATCGAATTTGACTGAACTTCAGACAGTACGGAGAATTATCTGAGTTTAATCCAAGATTTTTCAGAAAGCTCCTTAATTTTGTTTTCCTTAAAGACAATCAATAATTATCGGACAAAGTGGGATGTTTTATCGGATTTAAACTTTTTTGGGTGATTAAGGGCCATTACATAATGAAAACGTCATTGTTTATGGCGGCGTGCGGTTTTCGTCTAGACATGGCACTGTTGGAACGTAGGTACCCCACAGTATGTCGGACACGGGAACGTAGTATGTGTACCAGGTTGGGGTTAGACCATAATTTCAGGTACAAATACTACGGGAGACACTTGGTTAATCCCCGAACTGGTAATAAAACTAAAAAATGAACTAAAATAAGGAAAATTGGATAAAATTATGGCCTATCCCTGCTCTGATACACATACTACGTTCCGGTGTCCGCCATCTTGGTTCACATACTACGGAAGTACCCGAACGTATTTCAACAATAAACACATTTAAACTTGAATATATTCTTAGCAAAAGTACTATTCGTTATTATAACAAAATGAAGCTATTTTGATATCAACTGATAAACATTATGTTTCAGATCTATTGAAGCCAAGTATGAGGCTGTATATTAGCAAAAGTGACCCAGTCCCAAGTCACAGCATGTGGTTTGAAAACACGATAGTACTTCGTTGTGCGACTTATTCCAATCCAGAATCAGCTGTCTCGTGGTATAAAGACGGGCGACCAATTACAGAAGCCGTTGCAGCAGAAGATGGTAAGCTATCCTATACTGTACTGCTGTTATTATTGATATAAACATGTCATAAATGACACTCCTTTGTAATTCGAGTGATGATCATGTAAGAAATATATTTTAAATTGGCAGTAGGCGCCCTGGATCTCCGCTGATAGTTGAGGCCCGCACTCAAGCAAACGGTCACCACCAATAAAAACTTGCAGATCTATGACGACAGCGTAATTTAGTGAGCGGGTTACCGAAACTGCCAGTTCATTTAAACCAGGGTCGGCCAACCTTTTTGGACGACGGGCCCTATTTAATTTACTAATAATTGCGCGGGCCACTTAACATGGTAATTATGTTCTAGTTTTTCTACACTGACCAAAAGTTAATGATAAAACAAACAAAACCCTCGCACCAAACTTTCTCAATAATGAGAACAATAAAAAAACGAAAATACAATAAAGTCAACAAAGTTTTTCTACACGTAGACATTTTAGTGTGAAGTTTGGCACTGTTTTTCGCTAACAAGTTTGTCAATTTTCGCTGAAAAGGACGATGTAGCAATGCGAAGCGAATTTTCCATATGACTGTCAGAAATTAGTGATCTCACACAGGAGTTGACATGGTTTGACACGTGCTGCCAAATTATGAGGTCATTAAAACTGCCATTCTGCCCAAGTGTGTGAGCTACTATTTATGTATCGATATCTTTCAGTTGGTGATAGCACTCATGGCCTGTTTGAAAGGGCTAGCAAAGCGCATTTCAGGAAAATGAACGAATTGTTTGTATCAAATATTCATATTATCTACATCACTCAAAAAATGGAAGTTTTGCTCATTTTTTTTATTTAATAACAGCGCGGGCCACTCGAAACTCTCGGCGGGCCACATGTGGCCCGCGGGTCACGGGTTGGACGACCCTGATTTAAACGTTGCGCGTTTAGTAGACACTCTTGCGTGAGTGATATACTGCAGCTATTTATTGGATCCCCGCTATAGGAGACACCTATTATCGGTCGTTATGTCTGTCTGTGTGTTCATGCTCTAGCGCAGGGGTCGGGAACCTTTGTGGTCAAGAGAGCCATAAAAGGTACATATTTTCAACTGCATTTCCGTGCGAGCCATATAGCATTTCTTTACCTAATCGGGCCTGAGATTTTTACTCGAAAATCAACACATACAATGTCAATATAAATTTAATGTGCCTTCTGATGCTGCATGTTGTCGCTGCCGGCCTTGAACGGCTGCTCACATGCAGCACAAGTTGAAATCTACGATACTCGTTTCCCTTCTTTCGTTTAGGCATCTTCGTAGTATTTTTAAAAACTAGCTTTGCTAGACCGACTTGAATATGACAAATACTGTAAATAGTACATACAAACGGACAAAAAGCTTTATTCTATTGGTTCGCGACTCTATCGCTATGAATACAGAATATGTTCCGTAATCTAGTTTTGTCACAATGCCTGTCTGGTAATTTTCTTAATTAAATAACGTAGACATGCGCGGGGCACGCGTTCTCAAACGTATTGGCAACTTTTCTGCCAAATTTGACTATAAAAGAGTCTGAAATCTCGTAACAATAGTAGGCTTAGCCTCGGAATACTAGATTTTTCTGGGAGCCATATGCCGTCACCAAAAGAGCCATAGATGGCTCGCGAGCTATGGGTTCCCGACTTCTGCTCTAGCGTCTTAACGACTGGACCTTTTTATTTTTCGGCTGGACCTATCTTGAAATTTTACACATGGGTCACCTTGGGTGCTGTCACTCTAGTAATGTGCATTACATAGAAAGTCCGGATTGGAGTTTCGTTTCCATGATAACAACGACAAAATCGCGTCGATCGTTATAAAATTTCTAAATTTTTCACAATTTACCTAATAACTGTCTTGTTAGGTACACCACCAGAACGTGCACCCTTAAAAACTGGTACCTAAACGCCGTCGGCTTTTCCAGTATGACTGTACCCAGCCAGGCCAGCCCGCTGTCACTGTGCCAAGGTGATATTCACTTTGGTCGTTGCTATGCTGTTCGCTGCCCATGGTTACCCCTCCCGTACTTGACGGTGCCCGGAGACTCTTTTCTGTAACAAATTTGGTTTTTGGACCTCAATATTTGATATATTAATTTATATATATATATTGTTCGTCTTATTTCTATTAAACTTGTATCAAAGTTAGGCTCTTATCACAGGTGTCGCAGGAGACATAGCAATGTTTTTTTTAACTCAAAACTTTAAATTTGCTTGTCTGTCTGGGTTACATAAAAAATCAGTATTAACGTGGTAATTGAAGCTGTTTAATTCTAAGTAAAATTCTATTTTGTTTTGTTAACAGGTATAGAAATGCGAAAATTGATAAGATACATGCATGGAACCGCAGTACATGTCCTAAAGATTCGAAACGCAGGTTCCCAACATCACGGAAATTATGAATGTTTATCATCTTTGAAACAAAATGGATTGAAATACAGTATTCCAGAGAAGAGAGCAAATTTTACCTACAATGGAAAAATTGGTAGGTTGTCGAACAAACATTACGGTTTCATTTGAACGCAGTATCAACAATATCGTACAATAAACTGACATCTTACAATGGTATATTTATTATTTTTAAACAAAGCAATGGATAGACGTTTGGAATTAAACCAGATTGTTATTGTTGTAGTAAAAATAAATTTCAATCCGTCCAAGCTCACGATTAAAAGTGAGAACAGAGTGAGTTTTGCGGTAGATCTATACTGCAGGGGTGGCCAACCTGCTTTCGACCGCGATCGACTAAAATCTTCAAAATAGCTCTCGATCGACTGAGGTCATACACAAAAACGTGTACGAGTACTGAATAACTGCACAAATGCGTATAAAAAAATTCCGCCGCTGCCAATTAGCTCGGCTCAGTGGGCGCATTCCTAATAAAATCGCTACAAAAAGAAACCTTGCCAAGTATATATCCATTTATTATCTAATAAACAGATATCAATGAATATTCCAAACCATAAATGTTACATGACTGCTCAAACTCCAGTATCTTATCTTCTCTAAGTCCGACTCTTCGCCTGCTTGGAATTAGAAAAAATTGGGAATTATGATGCCACTGCCATCTATTTATCACACTACCCTTGGAGCAGGGTACGGGAACCTTTTTGGTCAAGAGAGCCATAAAAGGTACATATTTTCAATCACATTTCCGTGCGAGCCATTTGCATTTTTTCTCTTAATCAGACGTGAAATCTTTACTCAAAAGTCAAAACATACAATTTCAATATACATTTAATGTGATTTTTGATGCTGCTTGTTGTCGCCGCAGGCCTTGAATGGCTGCTCACATGCAGCACAAGTTGAAATCTACGATACTCATCACCCTCCTTTCGTTTAGGCATTTCCGTACTATTTTAAAAACTAGCTTTGCTAATCCGATCTAAATATGACAATCACTGTAACCAGTACGTACAAACGGACAAAATGCGTTTCTCTATTGCTCCGCAAATCTATCGCTTTGGGATGTCACAAAATATGTTACAGAATCCCCCAGTTTTGTCACGATTTCCGTCTCGTAATTTTCCTACATAACATAGCCATGCGCTGACCGCGCGTTCTCAAACGTATTGGCATATTTTCTGCCAAATTTAGCTATAAAAAAGTTTGAAATCTCGTCACAATAATAAGCTTAGCTTTGGAATACTAGATTTTTCTGGGAGCCACATGCCGTCACCAAAACAGACATATAGGGCTCGCGAGCCATGGGTTCCCGAACACTGCCTTGGAGTGAGACAATAACTTTTGCGTACTGTAGAAGTTATTGTAGGATCGTTTGTTAGTCAAGGCTCAAGACACACGATATTCGGCAAATTCATTTCTGAATCTTAGCAGCGGCGAAACTTCCATTTGTTGCGTGATAATATGCTCAATCGGTCGTTCCCCTTACTCAAATATTTTGCGCATGCACAGTATTGTATGCTTTCTGTTTTAAAACATACAACAGGCGCTGCATAAAACTGGTTCGAGGCAATTTTTTGAGGTTAAATTTACTTAACATCAGACGCGATCGACTACTCGAGACGTGGCGATCGACCGGTTATGTTGGCCACTCCTGATCTATAGCAAGTAGTCCGCACACAAAGAAGGGAAACAAATTTATATTATAAATTAGTTGACTGGCGAAGAGATTGTATAATATGCTACAACCTTCCCGTTCATTAAAACCATTTTTGTTAATTTATTTGCGGCTTATGGCTCCATAAAATTTTATGGCACCGGATCCCATTAAATTCATTAGAATATTGGCATTACGTCAGCAACCAGACATCGAACTTTACCATTTACACAGCGGAACCAAGAATAGTTGTGATGAATCTTGACAAAGTGATTGCGAACACTGGCGATGATATATTACTTGAATGCAAAGTCACTGGCGGATTTCCTCAACCTTATGTAACATGGATTCGTGAAAACGAAGCAATTCCTCGGAATCACGCATTCGTCAGCAATAGGCGAGTTATTTAGAATATATTTTTGGTCTTGTAAAATGCAAGGTTGAAGAATAATTCAGAACAGTGCTTGATCGACTGAGCTTGCTCACTTTTAAAAAAACCCGAAACTCCCATTTACTTTGGGTAATGTAAAAACATAGGCTACAGTATCAATAAAAAATGTTCTACTTTTGACTTCTAAAATCTAGCATGCATGAGGAATTCTACAATCAAATTTGCTTGTTGAATATATTGTTCAAGATCAAGTAATAATTGAGATGCGAATTATCGGTATATCAGCTATTTTGGATTACTATATGCATCATTTATCTAATCAAATATTTGAATAATTATCTGGTAGATAACTTAATTGACTGTTCATTCGAAATGTATGCCGCATAGCTTTCCATCCCAAAAACTGTTTCCTATACATTTTCGTAAAATTTGATTTATTTTAGAAAAATTTTGCAACTTCGACAAGTTCAAGCTAACTACGCCGGAGCTTATTATTGTGTTGCAAATAACAACGTGGGAAACCCAGTAAAAACAAGAGTAGATATAATTGTCAGATGTGAGTTTTTAATAAATCTTTTCTTCACTTTATTTTTGTAGGTCGTCAAACATACAAACTGATGATAGGTATTTTGAGCCTACAAAATAGATATACGCATGCTACTAAGATAAATGGTAGTTATGAGGAGAGTTACAATATGATCGAAAAGTATAGTTTGTATGCTTTGCGATAAACGTTAGTTTCGTGGTGTAAATGCGATATAATACGTTTTCTTTCCAGGGTTTCGATTGAAAAAATAGTAATATCATAAATAAAAAATAGTTCAGATATATTATCACATTAATCTATATCAAAGCATCGAACCCACGAAGCAAACAAATTTTTTTCAAAATTGTTTCCATAAAATTACTTATTTATTTACATTCAATGTTATACATATAAACTTTTTATTAAGTTAGAATCTTGTAGAATATCGTGTTAAATTTTTTTGTTGATTGACAATATTAAATTATCATCTCTTCAAGATCTGAACCCAATGCAGTACTGGATAACTCCCGATCCTCTCAGTGATGACAAACGACTTACAGTTGGAAAAGATATCAAATTAACATGCTACACTGAGGCGCAGCCCCCAGAAGAATTAGAATATTTATGGTTTAAAAAGGTATAGCCGAAATTTTCAAAGCCATCTACTTTTTCAATATCACTCAACAAGCCGGCTTAGTCAGCATTTACTGTTTAACAATGAGTTAGGCGCCTGACTGAAATAAGTCTTGTCTCTTATTGAAATAAATGTTTTGTGTTTTGATATCAAGTATGTTTTTGCATAAGGCGTAGTCAAAGGTCTGGAGCAATCACAATATCATGCCATATGGTCTACCCACAGCCAGGCAATTTAAATATTGTCGGTCTTTGTGAATGCATAGGTTTTATAGATTCTAATTTAATTATTTTACAGAAAGGAAACAATGCACTTATTCCTGTGAATAGTAGAACAGGAACAAACATTCATATCACCGATATCAAGACTGATATTGTTAAGAGATTTTTGACTTTTCCAGCTTTTTCGAGGTTACAAATATACTATTAATATTGTTTTTTTCAATCGTTCGTAATATTTCAATCAGTTTGAAAAAATGTTAGTTGAATTTTAGTTTTAAACATCCTAAATTGGTTTAAGAATACTTATATAGTTTAAATTTGAATTGTTGTAGAATTTTTATTTGACTTCAATCCAGTATACAAGTATATCTGACTTGGTCGTAATTGAGTCATTCCCGACTGCGCATGAACAAAAATTGAGTTCAGGCATTTAATTTATATTTTACGTCACAACGACCTTTCAAAAACGATTTTTTAAACAATATCGATATGATTTACACTTACAAAATATAATGGGTAAATTAATGCTGAAATATATCTATTTTTTATTTAATATCTATCTATCAGTAAATATTGAATAACGCTGTAAATTATTTTCTGCAAATTGCGTCATATTTACAAGTTTTGTAATTTTAGCATATTGAAAAAGGAAGGTTTCGATTTCCTAGACAGCTGGCGATTGCTTCATTATTATCAGACCATCAGTTCTTACCATAATACTATACATACATTACTATAATCGTAATGGTCATGTCTGTAACCAACTAATTTTTTAGTCGGCTTGAAATTCGTCAGTCAAGTGAAGAAAATTACGGTATTTACGTGTGCCGTGCTCGCCTGGTCAACGGGAAAAACGGAACACAAGTACAATCGGAAATCGTCATCACACAAGAATCAGCACCGGCACAGCTTTTTGCAAGCGACCCCTTGGTGTCGGCTCGAGAAGGAGGAATGGCACTGCTTGAATGCAGATCGAAGGGACGACCCGTACCCAAAATACAATGGCTAAGAGAAGGAAATGTGACGATAAACGATAATAGAATAACGATTGTGAAGGTATGAAAAATCAATAGGCAAAACAAGCATAAAATAGAATTATATGCATTGAACTATTTTCCTTTTTTTGCCAGTGACGACTTTCTGAAATTAGTTATCGTTTTATCTAAACGAAATGTATTTGATACATTCTTAATAATTATTTTTACAATATATCATTTCGGGATAAAATCGCCATTTTCTCGTAAAATTTGTAAAGATATATAATATTGTCCTGTATCATTCGCTTCTCTCATGCAGACAACGGTGTATGACTTATAGAAAATTTTTCCCACATCTACAATTTCTCATTCAATGGCTGCCCTGATAGAAAAAATGAACTTTTATTTCCAAGCATAAGATTGGCGGGATGTGATGTGATAGATATGATGTGTCTTCAACGCTGTTATAAAATATTCAACGTAATTCTAACCAACATGTATGTTTAGCAGAAGTGGTGTTTAAAATAATGACATCGTCTTTACGTCATATTTATCACTGTCAAACTAGTAGTATTTGCTTATGATCGTTGTTCTCTGTTGTTGTCAATATTTTTTATCTCAAAAATAGAGCAAATAAAATGCATATTGTGCTCATAGAATGGCAAACTGCAGATTCGAAACGTGTCGCGAGATGACGCTGGAACATACACCTGTATACCGACTAGAATCAACGGATTCAGTAAATTGGCAAAAATAAATTTCCAAGATGAAGTTGAACTTGATGTTAATTGTGAGTTAAACATTAATGCCGTATGATTTGAAAATTCGATAAACAGATTTCTATTTTATCGAAATTGGAACAACGAAAAGGATAAATGTTTGACTTCTTCTTACTTTATTTATTTATTATTTGCACAATTTGTATGAGGCAAACATATATTAGTTGAGCAATAGCAAAGAGCGTATGCTTTGTTAAACAAAACATTGTTTCTGCTCAGAACGCAACTCTAATTCTTTTGTTGACGTAAACTAAATGTATATCATATTACCAAAAAAAAGCAAAACGGATTCGATTCATGCCAAATTAAAAATTTACTATTTAAAGCAGTAAAAGTTTGTACTCAATGAAAATTTCTACTTGCGGAATTTAAGATTAATCAGACCATTTCATTATTGAAAAACATCGTGTTATAAATGTATAGATGTATACTATAACAATAATATCACAAAGGTTGTCTCTGAGGATTTATGTTCATGCTCTATGTAATAGGGATGATTGAAAGAAAATAACAAGAGTGAAATTTTTACAGATCCGCCTGAAGTGATACCAAGTTACAAAGTATGGCGTAGACAAATGGGAGATAAGTTAACTCTAACGTGCCAAAAACAAAATGCAAAGCCAGATTGGTAAGCAATTTTGTAATATGTTTATTGAATTTGTCTTGGCTAAACGAACCCTATAACGAATACTGTATCAGCCTGATGCATTATAGGTTCATTAATACACAAATTTATTTATTCAGGGGAATATCATACAGGTGGACGAAGGAAGGTCGCTCAGTTACCGAAACAAACAGTCAAACAATAACAATCTCTCCGCTGAAAGGCAGCAATTATGGAGTATACGTATGCACAGTTTCTAACGAGGTTGGCGAATCGCAGTGCGTCATCAATGTAACCGGTTCCGCATACGCACCAGAGTTCTATTACGGCGATGAAGACAATATGAGAATAAATGGTCCTGCAAACAGCATGTTTTCGAGAAATATCTCCGGACAAGGAGTTTTTGTTTACATATTATCTTGGACACAAAGATTGCCATACGCTGTTGACCCGATCACTGAATACAGGTTAGAATCTGTCACTTCGTTGCATGTTGTATTTACTACTTTTTGCCTGTTTGATAATGAAGTTAAAGAATTGACTGATATCAATGTAAATGACATACGCATTTAATTCTGTAACAAGTTGGTTGTAGGACATAGATGGAATTCAGGAACGTTTTGTTAAGTTGTTGTTGTTGCTGCTGGTGGGGTGATTGTTGTTGTGGAACAATTCGCTTTCAGTGCTTGTAGATCAAAAAAATCGCTAGAAAACTAGTACGTATATATTTTCAGCAAACTCGCTGATGAGTCATACCATCATACCTATTCAATATCTTTGTGTCCTTATATTTAAGCATTTGTCTCGTGTTTACAAAAATAGCTGTAGACATAAAAGTATATTATAACTCAGAAGCATTATTATTTTAAATGGTTGAGGTTTTAATGCAAATGTTGATGGCAAATTTGGCAATGAACTTTCTATATACTTACCTAGTCCACACGTTACCCTGCTGTCCTCGACATATTTACATCAAATAGGTCAAGCTTTGTTTTTTTGTAAATATGTTTATGTGTCAATATTTTTGCTCACTTGTTTTTATTGATGTGGATTTCCACTAGAATGAAAATAAACAGATGAAATTTGAATACTGTTGTCTAAACTAAAGTACAATACTCCTCTTGCTTTAGGATAAGGTGGAGACAATGGACCAACAACTTGTCGACGGATGCACAGTGGTATCAGGATACAAAGCCAATACAAGGTACGTAGATGAAGTCTGAGAGGAATATTATGTCGCGGTTTTGTGATGCACAGATATAAATAATTTAACCAATATACAAATGTAAAAATATTCGCCAGTACTGTGACTAGTGTTTCTGCTGTTTTTGATTTGTCAGATTTTTCAGAAATGTGGACTGGCATATTTATTACTCATTACAATGCTATATATATATATTAGAGGGATACTGGACAAATGCTATCCGAGGGTCTCGGAATCTTTTTCGTTTGATTCATCTAATTTATCACAGCTCGGTTAAAATTGATCTGGTGGGTGGCTCGGTCGATCTGGTGGGTGTCAGAATCAGCTTGCTTAAGGCAACATAATATGCTTGATAATACAATTTATCGACTGATTATTAATACAAATTACAATTTATGAAATTTGAAAACCGACGTGAGAATCTCGGTGATTTTCGTTTTTTTTTGCACAAAATTTAATAAGGTTTAATTATTGCAGGAATCGGAGTTGGAGAACTCATAACGTACGAGATGTTAGATTTGACTGCTGGTAGTTACGAAGTTGAAGTTACACCAAAAACAGATTTTGGATATGGGGATACAGCTAAAAGAATAATTAATGCTCGTAAAAAACGTGAGTGGATATTTCTCATTGTATATTAATTTATATTCAATCTATATTTCATTTTTGTTACCCCAATTTTTACTTTGTTCACAACACAGGTGGATTACAGACAACACTACAAGGTGAGTGCTGAAACTTGTTGAACATAAATTAAATCAATAAAAAGTCCTTTTAATATCAATGCGTAGAGCAGATTTTCACAAATACAATTTTTGTAAAAGTTCGATATATATGTAAAGTTTTAAAGTGGTTTGTTAACTAAGAAAACACATAAAATAAAAATCAATTGATATGATTTTTTTCGATTTACGAAATTTCAAAAAGTTGACATTTTCACAACAATATTGATTAAAATATGATTTTATTGTAACGCAGGGTCAGCTTTCTTCTGCGCCTTTTCTACAAATGATATTTGCGGATTCATGCAGGAGCCATCAGGCGGAGACCTGCATGATACTTTTTTACCAAAAGACGACTTTGATTGGCTGTGGAACAATGAAAACACCTTAGCAAAAAGGACAAGAGAAACTGGACCAGATTTTGATTTCACCAGCTCTAAAATAGATGGTAAGAGAAAAAGTATCTTCTTCACCACAAATCAGAAAATAAAGACAAAATCACAATCAACAATGCCATGAGTATTGTCGACAATAGATCACGCGTCATAGCTCGACTTTTTTCGTTTACATAAATCATGGAAAATATACTTACAAGTCTGTTGGGAGCAAAATATTGTGTCATCTTTAGTATTCCAAATTTAACACCCTAGCATTGTGCGTAACTATTTCGTTATAAGCCGCTGGTTACTCGTATATCGATAAATTGAATAAACATTTTCATATATACTTCATGTGAAAAAAAATCCAATTCACTTTTAAGTATTATTAATTTCTAGGAGGATATATGTTTATCGAATCTTCTCAAGTGAGAAAAGGTCAAAAAGCGAGATTAATTAGTCCATGGATTAGGGACGAAGATTCTCCCCAACAATGCCTCAAGTTTCACTATCATATGAAAGGGCGGCATATAGGTAAGAGCGATATTCTGCAAAGTAACATCGGCACACATTCTTAAACAATACTCAACATAATTGTTGTAGCTAACACATATTATTTCAAAAGGTCGTCTTCGAGTATTTATGCGCACTACAAACATAGAAGCAACATTATGGAATAAAACAGGACATCAAGGAAACAATTGGATTCCAGCGTTTGTGCCTTTTTATCATAACATGCCGTACAAGGTGAGCTTGTGAATAAAAATCAAACAATTGATAGTACAAATTCGACTGCTATTCATCCAATCAAAAGTAGTTAGAAATTAAATTAACTGCGTTAACCTTTTTCTGGTTGAATAGGTGTTTTTGTTATATTACAGATGGTATTTGAGGCACATATTTTAAAACCCCGACCACAAAACAACCAAGGAGACATAGCCATTGACGATGTTCTAATCGGCAAAGGTCCTTGTCCTACGCCTTCTACTCCCACGTCAGGTATAGTAGATGTAGTTAACAAAGTTGGAGCGTTTTCCTAAACCTTTTGCTCATCAATTGACAATATAGTATACCATAGTTTATAGTAAATAATTAGGTTCGAAGGTTTTTAGTTTCAAATATAGCTGTGACTGTCTGATGTGTGAATCACTACACTTTTTATCTGAGTGAAAAAATGCCATCAGATTTATTTAATTTTCGTTTGCGGATACTTGCAACACGAGTTTCTAGTTGTAGAACGTTTGCAATGATTTGTGACAACAAGACTAATTACAGACAAAGTTAGGTAATTTGATTTTATAGGTCATTTTACATGAAATATTCTAAATATTTCCCAACGTACTATAGTAGAGAGATATATATTGAATGTGGTATTACCTGTACCCAAACATTTTGAACTTCACCCAAATGAATATCAACTCATTAGCCATCTTAATAATTATATTCTGATCTCATTTGTTGTGTGTTACAGATCCACCACAAAGACGGACAGCGAAATCGAAAGGAAATGGTGCGAGGTCGATTCACTATTCAATAATTTCAAATTATATAATATCACAATATCCTGGATTTTGTAGCTTTGTTTTATTTCATTATTTTGCGCAATTCGTGCTGTCCATGAGATGACAATGCAGATATATACTTGCCAAGAGGTGAATATAAATCAATACGAAGAGAAACTGAGCTGAACTCGACTTGGAAGTAATATTCTGATTGATTTTGGTTTAAAAACAAACCTTATGGAATAGCAATACTAAGAAACAATAGGTCAAATATAAATTAATTTGGTAATTTGACTCAAAAACATTGGTCAGTTATGATTAGTTAACTTTTGCTAGTCATCCAATGAGATCATTTATAGTGACGTCATCGACAGAAACCCAAAAAGTTACCCAATTTGGATCAAAAACGTCGGGGTTATCAAAATATGTAGAAATTAGATGGTTCTATAAATAAGTGATTTATTTGTCAGTCATCCAGTACAAGTCAGACCAACAAATCAATGGATCTGACATATATATAGCTAGGGATATTCGAAACAATTGCAATGATTTCATAATCTAAAAATGCCTAAAAAAAATAGCCCCGCCAAATAAAAATCACTTTATAATGTGGAATATGTTATTTATTTATTTTCTAATAATGTGGTGTTAGTTGAGTTTTGTCCTATGTGTGCAATTAAATTTTTCTCTCCTGTTTTTTTACAATGATTTAAAACAATTTTTCTATTTTTCCGCAGTAACAACCAATGATCGTTGGTTGAATATTTACTGAAGAATTTTTATATTGTTCAAATGTTACACTGTTTAAATGTCTTCATTAAATAGATTCCAGTCGATGTGATACACTTTTACATGTCAGGTTCATGGTCAGGGGAACAACATGATAGACAAGAGTTTTCATAAGAAAGTTTGGACTAAAGCAAGCCGTATTATATTTTGTAAAAAGTTCTTCCCGCAATGAATGGGATGCAAAAAGAGGCTTAATAGCGTCAGTTATATATAACTTTTTCAATACAATTGAATCGGTGTCTAGGCAATAAAAAAATGCTGTATGCTGCCAAATGATCACTAGTTACAAAAGTCTTATTAAAATTATTTGATTTGATAATAAAAAATATGTAATTAGAAAAATAATTTAACGTGTTATAAAATAACTCTAATTAACAGGTATTCGCAATTTTTTAATTTAGTTTTTTTTTGCCGCAATCTCATTCATGTAACATAGATTTCAGATTAACATCGAAATTTCAGATAGTACCAGATTAACATCGAAAATAACACCAGTTGATACATTGCGGCAAAACTCGAACCGAGATCGGCATCATTGATGCACTTAGAGTTTAGACAATACAAACATATTTACCTACTCGACGAACTAACTATCATTTTAAGTTTATGCAATCTTTTCAAGATGGTAAAAACTGCCGAAAAACTCGCTAAATCAATAGAGTTTTTCGAGTATTCATTTAATTAGACAATGCCACTATTAAGGGAGCAGTAACAGAATGAAATTACCACTGACCTCCCTTGGCTTTTTAGGAAAAAGAACTATATTCCTCAGACACATTGAGCTCTGTGTAATTTTAGAATCAAGGAGCGCAGGTCACTACGCTGATTTTGTTGCAAGGAAGCGACGATTGAGTTGTGCTGAAAACTTGATCATAATATAATAGAAAATAAATTTTGCGTTAGGGTGTTTCACGTCAAGTTTAACGAGAACTTTTAAAAAATCCACCAAAGCGGCCAACTCGGTATGACATTCACAAGAGCGGTATATTTTATCAGATACCACTGTCAACTTCTACTAGGCCTCAGAACATTGGAGCATTAGTATTATGCGGGGCAATTCCCGTCACGGTAGTTCTTATGAGAGAATACAACGATACAAACAAATTGTCTTTACATTGCTACTTTTTTAATTAAGGTGACAGTTTATAAGGAGATGACATCGGACCAAGACATTGTTTTATATATATATCACTCAGAGAATCGATGACGTTTTAAATGAAAACCATTTGTGTGACAAAGGATCTCACGTTATTTTATAAATTAAACCCCATGCCAAATTCGTATATTGACAACCCTAACTGAAAACATATATTCGAGCATATTTAAGCTTATATTAGTTGAAAGGCAATAGGATGACTCTCATTATTTTAAGCAGTTTAAAAGAATATGATTCGGTAATGCAGAAAAATGAGTTTGTTTAAAAAAAACTACTGTATAGCAACAAAATGACATTGATCACAGTATGTTGTTGTTTCGCTAAAATTGCATTACGATATTTTATATATTTAATCAACTTCATCTGAGTTTTAATAACTTTATTGTGATCACAATTGATAGACACCATTCAAACAAAATGTGTATTTGCAGCATTTCTCCATCGTTTGTCTGAAAGGTCCCATGGTTGGACTTCACCAGTGTATTGAATACTGATCATAACACTGATTGAAGATTGGGATGCAATATACATCATACAAGGCAACCGGATAGCGAGTGACTTATATATATAAGCCGAAGATGGGTACAATCTTTTCATAATGTTGGATCCAAAATGTCAAAACAAAAATGACAGCCTTAAACTGTGTCTTTTATCATTTTAATTTGACTACTCAAGGAAATTGATTTTATTTTAATAATGACGCAGATAGACAAATTACTACAAGGCACTACGTTTGTTTCGTTTCTGTAAACCACTAATAAGATAAAACTGTTATTCTGAGCAAAACAACTCACTAAAATGAACAAAATACTCCTCAGAACTATATAGTTGAAGGTTTTCTCTCGGACAGGTGCTCTGGTTGAACATAAGGTAATATATACACATAAGAAATAAGGTTTATTAATCATTCTACCAAACGAAGCTATCGGAGTCTCTCGTAAAACATGGGTCATATTTAAATTTTAGTATATTCAACTAAAGGCTATGAGCAGTGCGAAATGTGATACTGTGCATTGTTTTATATCGCCTTTATCAGAACTTATAGCACGTCACGTTGTTAAAGAATCATCTACAAATTAACGTTGACACCATTGTGTTGCAGAAAAAAATTCATGTAAAATCTGTGTAACGATGATGGTAAAATCTATAGAACATCATTGTAATATTACGTAGATAGAGACTGATATTCGGTGGTTGGTGATTCAAGATATCTGAATACATATTTCGAGATTTCCTAACTAAATTTTTGTTATCATAACAATAGTATAAATGTTTCAAAGAAGGGAATTTTTTTTATGAACTTTTCAGCTAAATAAAAAATCAGTCAATAAATTAAGCCATTCCAATTTCTCTCTTTCAGAAAAAGATGAAGGGAAAAGCCAGTACTCAAATAGCACCATGCTCCTTCTGTTGGTTGACAGTCAAGCTATATTTTTGTAAACTAAATTTCAGTGAAATTTTTTTCCACGAACTCACGGAGTACATGAGTTTTTGTCCCCAAGTTTTCACGAGTTACATTTCAGTCATTCAACAAATATGCGTTGAAATATGGTAGATTTGTCCCGTACGGTGGGGGTCGCTCGCGACTTTATTATGAAGCAGGTTTGTTTTACAGTAAAAGGTCTGTTATTTCATTCATTTTTTTAATTTATCTTGCACAATAGTAATAAAATAATCAAAAATTATTTGTAGGAAGTTCAAATCCGTGAGACAGTGGGTAGAACAAGACCAGTACAAATGCAGTGGAAGGTTTAAAAATATCTTGTTACTCAATGCGTTCTTCAGTAAGGCATACACTTGAATATTATTTATTTCTAACAGTATTAGTGTTGATTGTCGACTTTCATTCATTTAAAACGGGACATTTGGATGATATTCTCGAAATTCCATTACCAACATATTCACATAATTATTGGAGTTATGTAAGGATCGGAAAAAAGGATGCCTCTCAATAAATGTTACACAAAATATCTGATAAGAATGCCGACTCATCATTTGTCTACGCGTAACCTGGTCCCAGGTCATACAAAATCTATTTTCAGTATTACAATGGCTTGACTTACATAACGTAACGTTATACCATCCCTTACGTCTCGACCATTGTTTCCGTTCTTGTTTGGAATAGAATGACAATCTACAAGTATTATTCGTATATCATATGCCCGTGTCTTGTTTTTGTTTAAAAAGGAAGTGCCGTACACGACCTCGCTGATCGTCTCACACATTTATATTTTATGGAATTCACTTTAACGACCCTTACCCCACTAGCTTCGGTCGTGATCACGCAACGAAGTGGAAAATAACGATACCTGCGTCGTCAGATTAAGTCGCGAATTCTTTTACTGAGCAGAAAGTTAAATACCTAACACGTCGTTTATAACAACATATGGGCTTAGTTTTGTAGTGCAGCCGAAGTTTATGTTCATATATAGTTATATCATAGATAAATCGTCAGAAGACAAAATGTAACACGCTAGGAAAGAAAGTTAAGAAAAGAACTATTACAGAAACTTGCCAAGCGTGTCGACCAGGCTTCGCACGCAATCAGTTTAATATGTTTGTGTAACTTGTTACACGCTAACACGGCATTATTTATACCGGTTATACTTGAAAATATACGCATTGTAGTTTAACCACACCAAATTTAGTGAAGACCATGTTTCTATAGCTCATACGTACAAAATAAGGTGGCTACCGACCACTGTTTCAAAAATTGAAAAAAAAACATTTCCACTGAATATTATTGGCCTTTACATTCTCATATTTTCAACTTCATTGCATCACCTGCATCAACTTTTCATATTTATTGTAAGACGAAATTACGTGACTGAACATTTCTAAAGTGACTGAAATTTGATTTGAGCTTAAAATACATGTAAATATAGTTCAGATAAACAATAAAAAGTGCTCTTGGCGCTGTTCGTGACCGGAGTCTTTGTTGATGTTATCGGTTCACAATTACTCCTGACCATTATATACATATATACATGTATGTATTTAATCTGTCGTCTGGTCGAATTCTACTTATATTGGAACCGAGAAATGTTCGTTTATATTTTGTCAGATGAAATTTAAAGTGTTAATTTTTTTTCAATGCAATGAGTCATAATTCTCGTTGAACGAGATTAGCTTCTAGCTGTCAGTGAGAACATGTGCGGTTTGTGGGTGTGCAAAACTGTATCTGGAGTCCAATAAGTCGTCATTTCTTATGCTTAGAGGCTTTTTCTTCGCTGAATTTCAGTAAACGATAATAAATCCATTATTACTTACAGAGTTACAACTATCGACAAATTATATATAATATGAGATATTAGGTAAACAATATTTGTGTGTGACAACTACGGAAATTGTATTCTACGGAAACAAATCATGGAGCCGACATTTCAAAACAAGATTTGGCGAAATGCTGCATATTTTGCTTTCATTGGAATGGTGGGTGAATAAATAGAATAAATTTTATTTTAGAGAAAAATGTAGCATACATTTTGTATTAAGTCTTCAAAAACACTGGTTCAGCTTCTCGAAATTAACAAAAACTTATCATAGAACGACTTATTTAAATCACATTTTTTATGGTGTGTTGGTTTACATGTTTGACTCGTTTTCATGTTCTGCATTTACCAACTTTTAGAATATTGGAGCACTAATAGTTGTCGGAACAATGCCATTTACATTTCATGCAATGGGAGAAAACAGCGATATGAATACACTCGCTCTGCATTGTATTTCTATGAAGGTTTGTATATGTGATAATCTAAGAATATGTAAGGCTTGTGATTTTCACAAGCATTACAAGTGCATTCGTATGAACTAATTGCGGTCAAATCAGTTATTTGGTAAACATCAAAATGTTCAATTCGTTGGACAACTTTTTTTATACTCACTAAAAAGTATTCCACTTTTTATGTGATCAAAAATTATGCTGGCGATGAAAACATATAATGCATATATATATATTATACCCAGTAGCAAAAACAGTTCATATTGAGTTTATTATATTTTCGTTTTTATCGGTTGAATAAAAAAAAATTATTACTGTACCATTGTTCTTTATGGATGCTTAACAACCGGGAACAAATGTGAGTCTTATTTAATGCAAACTTCGCATGCTTGCAAGAGACCTCTTTCGTGCTTTCCCATTTACTATTAGGTATAGTATTACAAAAATGTTTGATATTTTAGTCCATTCAATACTGGTTGATTGGAATAGGTGGATTTGCCTTTATTGCTGAAGTTTTAGCTGTTCTGGCATCGATGGGACGAAGCAAAACATTCCGGATGATAGTAAGTTTTTTATATTCGAAACAATACAGCAGCAGCTTGCATTGTTTTCAAGTCAATGTGACATCAAACTTTTAATTTTTTTTCTGATTTTCATTAGATAGTAAATGAATTAATTTTCTTATTTACTTCCATTTTCAGCTTAGAAATCACCAATCTAAAAAGCTTAACATTTCTATTGTTCATGTCTTTGTGCAGGTGATGGCTATCATTTCGCTAGTTATTATCCTCGCCCTAACTCTGGTTATCTGGGGATCAGTTGAAAGCGATAAAAGAAAAGAATATTTTCAATCGACTTGGAATGATATGGATGGTGATACTAAACATTTCATTGAAACTTATGTAAGTAATAAGATATTAGATTTACTTACACATCAATAAATGTTATACCTCGGACTTAAATATATACATCTAAATATCGGCTTACTATCGAAATACTTTTATATTTTTTATGAGATCTTCGTCGTCTATTACAATTGATTTTCACGATATGAAAACCGAATTTACTAAAATTAATGTCGCCTTGCATAATTCATTTTGTGGTAGAAAAGGCTGTTTGTATAATAACAGCAGGACATTTGCTGGTTAAAAATTTACTAGCGATTGAAACGATGTTAGCGATTCCTGTTTCTTACATCATAAAGTCTCGTTGTCGGAAACGGAAGATGTTTTGTTGTATGCGAAAATAAGTTAGATTATGTCGGGATTAATGGCCATTCTAATTGCCACATCACCCGTAATGTGATGTCAGTACACGCAAAATCAACTATTACATTTGATCGTCCGCTATGCTATGGTTTTAGATGGCATGCTTTACGACTTGAAAGAAACAAATGCGGTAAAGAATTAAACCAGTTTACTTCCATTTTTCAGTTCTACTGTTGTGGGTTCGAGAACGAAACTGAATACACATCAACGTTATTTCCAGTGAATGAATCGTGTTACGCAATTCCATCAGAAAACATAACATGGTCAGTTGGGTGCTACCAAAGAGTCACTTCTTCATATTTGGGTTCAGTTTCTGTGATAAATGGAGCAGGAACGACTCAATCTATCGGAGATGAGAAAGTGAATCCGTTTCTTGTTGCATTCATTTTTTCTATTCTAGTCATAATACTCGCGCTAGGAACAAATTTCGGTGTGTTTGTCGTGGGCATGACCAGGTCGACAATGTCACAGAACTCCGACAGTTTCGTCCTCGAGAATAGAATGGTTACAAACTATGACAGGCAGGCCTCAAATGCACCTGAAAGCATCAATGAATCAGAGAGAAATAACAATGAAGAAATTGAAGTCAATGACTTTCAAAATGGAAACTCGGTTACAAACGGAACGTTGCACAAAAACGGAGACTTGAATGGAAAAATAAATACCCAAAAGACCGAAAAAGCCTCGGTCTCTAGCGACGGCAGCACAATGATTGAGTCAAAACCATGGTACAAAGTTGTTCCAGATGCCATATCTAAAACATTCGGTAATACATTTTATTGGATCGGATTCAGAGTAGCAAGTCATCCGAAAATGACGATTTTGTTCTCCCTTATTATGATAGGTAAGTAGGCGTTTCTTTTACAATCTATTGATAACGAGATTGCAATGCTCTGATATATGGACACGAAAGTCAAAACGAAGTAGCACGGTTATCAAATCTTGTATAGTACCGGGAGTCTTCTCGACATCTACTGACCACTAGAACGCTGAGACCCCGAATTCAATTTAGTACGGTACCTTACAGTGATACTATTCACTCTTTCCACAGCTACAATGTCTGTGGGTATGCTCCAACGATATGAATCTCCAGCGGGATCCGCAAGCGCCTTTCTTGCAGATGACAACCCACGATTGCAAGAATTTAATTTATATGCACAAACTTTTGTAATACGGGAAAGAGATCAAAGAATAATTATAGAGGATGAATCAAATGTTATCTCTGCAGAAAACTATCTCACAACACTGAATCTGGATAAGAGGTGAGAAAGAACGAGGCGGGCAATATTGTAGACACACTATAATAAATTCGAAGATAATTTATGGTGTTTTATAGTAAATATTTACATTTTCTATCATTGTTAAATGGCACTCATGGTAAGTTTTTACTCACAAATTCAGAAAATCACTACATTGTGATACTAAATTTTATTTAGCAGTTTGCAATGTATTGCTTTACTTATGTCATATGCCACAGTTGACAATAATTACAACATTTACTTTTCAGTGTCAAGAATTTGACTAGTTCCACCGGACAAATGTTTTCCGACATTTGCCAAAATATAGACGGTGACTGTAGAGAAAGATCAGTTTTTGAATTTTGGAGTTTCAATAACACGGTTTTGGATGGATTATCAAATGCTGAATTGTTGACAAAAATTAATGAAAATCCGCTCACAAGCCCCGTCTTTGGTGACAACGTTGATATTACACACATACTCGGTAAGCGGTATAAACTGGTGTTATACATCTACAAAATTGAACTGATTCACCCCTAGAGTAGCCCGTTGGCTGCTCCAGGAGGAAGTTGTGAGAACATAAAGACAAAACATACAGAATATAGATATTTTTTTCAACTTAATATAAAATATTTATAAAAGAATTATTAAAATAATATAAAGTTTTTTTCCCATTCCCGGTTCAGCAATTAATTTAAGTCGACATTAAATTCGACACCGTCGAATAGAATCAATAGATAACAATGTGATACATTCTTTTTAAACAATAAAGATTTCCGAATGTGACTCTTGCCAAAATACTATGTCCACTACCCATGCATGGTCTGAAATTTAAAAACATATTTGAATCCGAATCATATTTGAATTTAGGTGGAATAGGACGGGACAGTTCTGGCAATATCGTTTCGGCAAAAGCTCATCTTCTAGACTACGTCACAATGTGGGTATAGTTATTTTTTTCTGAAGTTTGCACGTTACCAGGTTGCCGTCGCATACCTGATTACTATGTCCAACGAGAGAAAGGTATAGCTTCCTCTGTCAACTAATTCATTCATCGTGACCACTAATATGCCCAAGCGTACTAGTCAAAACCACTTCTGCAATTATATGATTAGACTAACTTGTTTAACTTCTTATACTGAGAATATTTTTGGTTTTACTTGTTTTGGTTTTATTTTCATTGCATCTTGTTTGATATCCTATAATTCACATTGTGTTTAGTGTCAACGGTGGTGACTGGGAAGAACTTTTCATCGATCTTGCAACGCAGAGCTACACCGGTCTCAACGTCTATCCATCTGCTTTCACAAGTAGGCGATTGGAATCTGGCAGCACATATACAAAAGAACTTCCGTTATTATTTGCTGGATTTGCATTGATTTTCGTTTATATAATTGCTATGAGTGGAAAGTTTTCTCTTTTAGAACACAAGTAAGAGCTCTATCATCTCCATTATACTGAAAATCTATTTTAACAGTAAATGCACCTGAAATTTAAATGTAATAAATGTTGGCTATTCCAATGAACCGAACTAAAATTAGATGACGAAAATAATACTACCATTTTTATACGTAATACAACATATTTTGGAGAAAGTAGTCCGGGAAAAGTTCAATGAGGACGTTCATTCGACATACTTTAAAATGTCGGAAATATTGATTTGTAGTTTTCAAAATTAACTTAGGCAAGTGGGGTTTCCAATTTCATTTTCTTCTTCATATAAGAAAGATTTTTTTTAGTTTTCATATTTGAATGTCAATCACTACGAAACTATGTTTCGAATTGCTTTTACTTCCAGCAGTGTATTTCTAGTATCTAATTATAATCGTAAGTAATGTTCTTTTTTAAAAAGGGCTTATGTAGCATTAATGGGAGTCACTGCTTCTGGCCTCTCAATGGCTGGTGGAATTGGAATTTCCTCAGCATTTGGACTAAAATGGACACAGCTTCATCTAATCGTTCCATTTTTGGTGATTGGGATTGGTGTTGATGACATGTTCGTTATCATTCATTCTTGGGATACTATCGAAGATGACAAAGACAATAAGGAGAAAAGCATTCCGGAAAAAGCAGGACTGACTCTCAGGGTATCAAATCTTTTTTATTTCAATATTCTGTAATTTATGCAAAACCATATACTAAGCTTTACTTATACTTTATTTATAACCTAAGCCACATATCTTTTTCTATGTTCAACGTACTACCTTCATTTTAGATAAGTATACGTATAACCTCTTTGTATATATTGCAGACTGCAGGAGTATCCATCACAATAACATCAGTAACGGATTTGGTGGCTTTTGCAGTTGGTGCATCCAGTGAACTTGGGGGTTTTGCATCATTCAGTGTCTTTGTTGCAATTTGCATCATTTTGTTGTTCTTTTTGGAGGTAATTTTTATTTTTAAGTATTCCATCGTTGATAGATAACCGGAAAGTTATCATAGCGCAAAGAAATCGAGTTATTATATAATGTTAGGTATATTTGATTTGGGTTTATGTCTCACACATAGAAAGTAGTTAGTCTATCGTATGGTAAACATTCAATCAGTAATTGCTTCTTTCCAGAAATAGAAAATGTAGCTTTTCACTTATCAACTATTATTGGGCAATGAAGACAAAATCTTTCATAATATTAGAACCTATTCTAAAAATAAACATCGTTAACACTTAGGCAAGACTATCTATATTTTCCACAGTGTACATTTTTCTTGGCTTGTGTATGCCTCGATCAGCGACGTAAAGATAAAAGATACGATGCATGCCTGGCATGTTGTTACAAACACAAGGATACGTATAAACCTGGCAAATGCTCGGAGCGAGAGGTAAGATATATCCATGTAAATGTTAATTAAACAGATGCTATTTATTGCAAAACAATGTATCAAGTGGCTTTATATTTTGAATATCTTATTTTAAACGAACCCGATTCGAACTCGTATTGTAAAATTTGAGAGGTTTAGAAGTAGATGAAACGTCATTGTCAATAGAAAATCTTCTACGATTCGGCAAATATTTGAAACTACATATCCAAAAATACAGCGGTTTATTTGTCATATAGATAGAAATGTGGAATATTGTAATAAATGCCTTTTTTTCAAGTTCTTTCAGACATTTTTCGAAGATGGACTCGGTCGTATCGTTACCAAACTACCCTTCCAAGTATTTGGAATCTTAGCTACGTTGGCACTGACAGGAGTTATGGCATGGGGATTTTATAATTTAAAAGTCAGATACGACCCGGATTGGTATTTACCGGTGGATAGGTGGGTTTTCGTTCTCAGTTGATTAAGCCTATCTCAAATTCCTTTAATGGGTATGCTTAGTGAACAGATCAATGAATAAGCTATCCTAGTTTTGTATCTCTGTTATCTAAGGTGGGATATCGTATAAACTTACTCAAACCTATTTATACAAAGCAGAGTTTGAGTTTGCCCTAAAGCAGGCTCATCCGCAAACAACAGTTCAGCATTTAGAATAGTTTTCTGACCCAATGATAATGGTGTCAAGTCCAATATCACGTCACCTGCAGCAATCCAATGGTGGCGATTTGAAAGTTATTTCATTCCCACACTTTGTTGCTGTTGTTTACTGTCTTGATCAAACTTAATACGTGATACTATCTTCTTGGTACGCAAATTGTTGTAGGCTATTAAAGTATATTCACTCAAGCGTTCAAGCGATATAAACAAGACATATTCACATTCCTATTTTTATCAACGTTAAATACTGGCCTGTAAGTATGCTAGCATATTCAATATATATATATATATATATATTCCATCTTTTAGCTACCTTATCACATACAACAACAAATATGATGAATATTTCAATGTTGGAGCAGAAGGGGCAGCTTACGTAATAAATGCAGATTTTTATGCAGAAAGAGAAAAACTTCACACTTTATATGAACGAATAAGAGTCAATTCCAACATTAATACGGCATATCTTCAGAGGTTAGCTAACTACATTTATTCAATATATATAGGATTTGAAATCAACAAAATTGAAGGCGAAATATCTAAAATCGTAGATCGCATGTTAATAAATTGAATCATGCTGATTTACTTTCAGTGAATTTGTTGAATGCGTTTATGTTTTCTTTTGAATCTTCGTGATTTTTCTGACAGAAAATAAGTTGAATTAATTTTTTTTCATCATTTTTTAGTTGGTTTGAAGCCTTTGTGTCATGGGCTGCAACAACGAAAGGAATTTCTGATGTATATGCAAGTAACGCGTTTTCGGATTCAACAGCGTTTTACACAGCAGTTAATGAGTTTTTGTACTCAAGTGGACGAAAATATATCTATGTAAGTAATATGAATTAATATAAATTTAAAGACAGGGTAGTATGTATTTAATAAATGACATAAAGTTTGAAAAATAACAAAACGCTTACATCATTCAACTAACAAGGTGTAATAAACTTTTATTATGTAAATTGAATGTTATGTTTAAATGAACCAATCTTACTAACTTTGAATTACATTTCAAACTACTTTGAGTCAACTATGCGATAATAACAACATTCATGGTGATTTGTGAAAACAGCGATTGTGGGGGTTTCTATGTTAAATTATTTTCGATTTAATTAGTGAAAACATCATAAAAGCCAAATATGTTTTTTGTGACCTCTGGTAGATTCGATTCTATCTACACGATGATTATCAGTTGAATAAAGTAAACTGTAATATTGTTTGGGAGATATGTTTGAGTCATATCATCCATGAACGCTTTTAACGCAAAAAGGCATAAGTTCGTTGAACCCTGACCTGGTACACATACTATGTTCAGGTTGTGCGCCATTTTGGTGTACACATTTCGTTTTATTGAAGTAGACTGCTTTGCATTTTGGCCATGATTGAGAATATTTCTTCCAGTGAAAATTAACATTTGTAGCATAAATTTAAATCATCATTATAGGATGTGGTGTTCAAAGATGGCGTTATTATTGGATCACGAATTCATTATACTCATGTATTAGTATCGGATGATGCAGAAAATATAGAAATAGTAGAATCATTGCAAGCAGATTGTGAAGCCGTTGGATTCAGTTCAGGACAATGCTTTCCTTACGGAGGGTAAGTAATGATATATAAGTACTAATTAATTACGAAAAAAATTCTTGCACGACGTTTTATTTGAAATTCGAGGTAAAATCGTCCAGAATAAGAATATGGTTAACCACGGTCCATTCTCTTTTTACTTGGTCCAAATCGTATCGTGTATCAAAATCGTATTGTGTATGGAAATAGATAACAAGTATATTATTACATATACATATGAACTCTGATCTCTTTGTGTGACACATCTTGAGACGGCGGAGCTCTCACGTGTAATTATTTTCCGCAGTATTCGAACCCACTCAGAAAAACTAGCGAAAATAATTATTACTTTTTTTGTAGTAAATCGAGTATTTACTAATGAGTTTCGATTCGGAGAATAAGTGAATATGTGGCATATAGTAAATAGCGGGTTGTATCATCAAATTTATCTTTGCTTCACTTCCTTCTCAAACTTTGGAGATTACGCAGTGATATATATAATAAACGTGACAACTAAGCAAACGACTGTAATTCAATAGCACCATTTTTAAAAAAATTTTGGAGAAAATTGAAACCCAAAAAGTTTGGCTTAACTTTCAGCAAATTTAGTATATATATATATATATATATATATATATATATTTGCATTTGCTTTGATTCGTTAAGTTAGAAACGTCCATTGTTGCTGTATAATTAATTATGAATTATTGTGTGTAGGTTCTATCTGTTGTATGAAATCACCAGAATTATTAAAGTTGAAGTTTATAGAAATTTGGGGATTACGTTGGCTTGTGTTTTTATTATGGTCTTGCCAATGCTAGCCAGTTTACAGATGGGTTTCTGGGTTTCACTCTGCGTTGTCTTCACAACTGTGGATGTCGCAGGAAGCATGTATTTTGCAGGTACAAATCAAATATTTCTATTTCGTCTTGTGCTTATATTTCTAGTTATCTGTCCTAATTTTCAACACACCATAGCAAGATAATTAATTACTCCCAGAGTAAAAGGAGACAGTAAGAATGTTTTTGTATATTAGAAATTGGCCATAGAGAGTGTCATATTCATGTGTTAAATCTTCATTACAACGATCATACAACACAATCTGATATCTATATAGGCGACTAATACAATCGTTTGTAAAAGACATTCCACCGTTGCGGTTAAAATTATATCCATATTCTTATAATATAGGTCTTGCCATTGAAGCCAGTACAATTATCACTTTATTACTGTCTATCGGCCTGGCAGTGGACTATGCAGCTCACGTTGGTCACAAATTCCTGACAACGAAGGGAAGTCGAAAAATGAGAGCAAGAGTAGCTTTAGGACGTATCGGTCTTGCAGTTTTCAACGGAGGTTTCAGTACTTTTCTAGCGCTTGTCATGCTGGCCGGTTCGGATACATATTCTTACAAAGTCTTTTTCACGGTGAGGTATTTTTTAAATTATACGGGGCTTTCTTTTTGTTCAATAAAACATAATTACAGAATATACAACCCGCTTATTAACATTACTTTTAATATCCAGGTGTTTGCCTGTGTAATCGGATACGGTTTGTGGAATGGTTTGGTATTTCTACCCTGCGTTCTAGCATTGATGGGACCGCCACCTAACTCCATTGCTACTGAAGCTCGTCTGACCTCCAGACATTACGCTCAAAAATCAAAAGTGAATGATAAAGCCAGGTCTGCCAATACAATTGAACAAGGAGATACACAGATAGGATAAGCTAAGCAATGAGAGGAAAATTATAAATAATAATGATCTATCAACAGTATTATATTAAAGAACGATTATTTTCTTAATTGTTTTCTAAAATTTTCAAAAATTAAAATTTTGTCCTAAAACTTCTGCAAATGATTATTCTTGACAAACAAATTTGAAATTGCCTATTTTTTCATTGTTATTCATCCGTAAATCCTAGTCTAGAATAACATTAGCGCTCGTGTTAGGTCTTTTTTATTATCAATGTAGCGTTTTCTTCAAAAATAGTCAATCAATGTCAACCCGTGCGATAATGCTTGGCGTAATAGAGTACTTTCAGTTATATGTGCTCAACAATGCGTTCTCCGTCAAAATTATTCGAGAGAGATATATTTCTCTATCAGAATTCTAAAATGTAATAAATATGAATCATCACAAAATATATTACTCTCATTTGAATGGTTATTATATATAAAGTGTTTCAATTGTTAAATATCTACTTGCTTGTACTAGTAAAGCAACGCCGCAGCAGATACAAACTTATGAAATAGATAACTTGAATGTTTTTTTTTTCATTTTGGTAATGGATTTATATATATGTATAAATTTTTATTGTACTTTTGTTGTGTTCAAAAAATTGATTCAAACTTTGAGTGTTTTCTACTTCTCTTGTTTTCTATGAATTTCAAATATAATATTACTCAGAATTGTTCACTTAACGATAGATAAAGATATTTTGGTATGCTAAAAATTCTGAAAATTAAGCTCAGTAATCTTAGGAGACATGATCGAGTTTATGCTCTATTTACCATGACCCAAGAAATTCTTAAGCTGCACGGATGACTGATTTTACTGACCCAAAGGCTTTATCACCAACACGGCAAGTTTCATCGTTCATTCTGATGAATGTACTCAAAAACTGAAACAATGGGTTTATATAGTCAAACAGCTGACTTGATCTTCTTTTACCGTGTTCTTTGTCAATTCTAAAATGTAATAAATATGAATCATCACAAAATACATTACGGTTATTACTTATCGATCTTAAGATCGGTAAGTATATTGATAGGTATTTGTCTGTATGTATGTCTGTGTGTCTGTTAGATGCACGCGATATCTCACGACGGCGTGGTTGAATCTGCTCCAAATTTTGCATGTGCATTCATCATATCTCGGACCAGAAGCCTATTGATTTTGGATGAATTATGTCGTATAATTAGCGAGTTATTAATTAATTAGTGATGAAGAGATCTGGATTTTCACAAATCGAGAGATTTTCGAGACGCGCTGAATGTGTGTGTGTGCGTATCAGATGCGCAAGTTTTCACGCTAGTGAGTCAGAGCGTACACACCGCTAGATCGTATCTAGTGATTAATCTTTGAGCCTTGTCCATATCTCTCTTGTAACTTTGACGTCGTCGCGATGCGCAAGTTTCCTTCGAGAAATTTTCCACACTATTGAGTCAGAGCGAAGGATACACGCCGCGAGATCGTATCTCGTTACTTATAATTACTCCTTAAAGTTTAAGCAATGTCCATATCCCTAAATCAGGTTCGGGGTTGCAGAATTCCTCACCAAAATATCGCTAGGCTGTGTTTGAATAGCCGTCGCAACCTGGGTTAGCGCCGTTGTATTTGACACAAACTATAGGATTGGTAAATACAGAAATAGGCTATTGGCTGGAAACTAATCGAAACAATCCAGTTCGGATTTGCAGAATTCTTCATAAAAGTATTTCCTCGAGTAGTATTTCGACGACATGGGGAGTTGGCTATTGTTTCCTACATTTCTGATATTGGCTGAAAACTAATCAAAACAATCCAGTTCGGGTTTGCAGAATTTTTCGAATCGAAACCGCAGTTTCTGTTTTGGGGGATCCCCTAACTTTCGATCGATAAGTCTTCGGTCTCTGACCGATATTCTCGTTTGAATGGTTATTATATATAAAGTGTTTCAATTGTTAAATATCTACTTGCTTGTGGAATAATAGCTCGAATAATGTCAACCCGTGCGATAATGCTTGGCGTAATAGAGTACTTTCAGTTATATGTGCTCAACAATGCGTTCTCCGTCAAAATTATTCGAGAGAGATATATTTCTCTATCAGAATTCTAAAATGTAATAAATATGAATCATCACAAAATACATTACTGTTATTTGAATGGTTATTATATATAAAGTGTTTCAATTGTTAAATATCTACTTGCTTGTACTAGTAAAGCAACGCCGCAGCAGATACAAACTTATGAAATAGATAACTTGAATATATTTTTTTTTTATTTTGGTAATGGAATTATATATATGTATAAATTTTTATTGTACTTTTGTTGTGTTCAAAAAATTGATTCAAACTTTGAGTGTTTTCTACTTCTCTTGTTTTCTATGAGGTTCAAATATATATATTACTCAGAATTGTTCACTTAACGATAGCTAAAGATATTTTGGTATGCTAAAAATTCTGAAAATTAAGCTCAGTAATCTTAGGAGACATGATCGAGTTTATGCTCTATTTACCATGACCCAAGAAATTCTTAAGCTGCACGGATGACTGATTTTACTGACCCAAAGGCTTTATCACCAACACGGCAAGTTTCATCGTTCATTCTGATGAATGTACTCAAAAACGGAAACAATGGGTTTATATAGTCAAACAGCTGACTTGATCTTCTTTTACCGTGTTCTTTGTCAATTCTAAAATGTAATAAATATGAATCATCACAAAATACATTACGGTTATTTGAATGGTTATTATATATAAAGTGTTTCAATTGTTAAATATCTACGTGCTTGTGGAATAATAGCTCGAATAATGTCTACCCGTGCGATAATGCTTGGCGTAATAGAGTACTTTCAGTTATATGTGTTCAACAATGCGTTCTCCGTTAAAATTATTCGAGAGAGATATATTTCTCTATCAGAATTCTAAAGTGTAATAAATATGAATCATCACAAAATACATTACTCTTATTTGAATGGTTATTATAAATAAAGTGTTTCAATTGTTAAATATCTACTTGCTTGTACTAGTAAAGCAACGCCGCAGCAGATACAAACTTATGAAATAGATAACTTGAATGTTTTTTTTTTATTTTGGTAATGGATTTATATGTATGTATAAATTTTTATTGTACTTTTGTTGTGTTCAAAAAATCGATTCAAACTTTGAGTGTTTTCTACTTCTCTTGTTTTCTATGAGGTTCAAATATATATATTACTCAGAATTGTTCACTTAACGATAGCTAAAGATATTTTGGTATGTTAAAAATTCTGAAAATTAGGCTCAGTAACCTTAGGAGACATGATCGAGTTTATGCTCTATTTACCATGACCCAAGAAACGAAAAATTCTTAAGCCTCACAGATGACTGATTTTACTGACCCAAAGGCTTTATCACCAACACGGCAAGTTTCATCGTTCATTCTGATGATGTATTCAAACACTGAAACAATGGGTTTATATAGTCAAACGGCTGACTTGATCTTCTTTTACCGTGTTCTTTGGAAGCCAGTTGAGACTGTTGGTTGCAAAACTTTGAGTCATGTATGATAGTAGTTTCTCAGTCGCCATCAAAGTAATAAATAATATAATTCAGATACTTTCAAGTGACAGAGAAATTGATCGCCACCCTATGTATTGCCTAATAGCAGCAATCTTCAGACAAAGTGTACCAATCCAACTCCAAGCTATATAAATTATGCAAAAATCTCCAGCACCAAGTGAACAAGATAGACAGATAGAAGGCCGCCGATGCGCTAGTCGCTGAACTACAGTATGTACATACAGTTATTCACTCGACAGGCAGTACTTACAGCCCAGTATTTATTTCACTCAGGAATTGTAGTATGATATTGCAAAGTTGGTATCAATGAGCACAATTTTAGCGTTCAAAGAACACTTAAGATGGTTCGACGTGGATAACAACATTTGTTCAAATTAAGATTTGATAAGTTTTGCGATTTTCAATGATTTCAATAATCCTGAGAAACGTTTTCGTTATTAAAACTGTAATTTTCATTCATACATAAACAAATTTTTAGCAAAAATAAATTCGTAATAATTCGTAATATAGTCTTCATATACCCAAAATATCAATTTCCAGCTAATAAAATTTAATACAATAAATATGCGGACTAAAAAATATTTTACACAAAAAGCAAGTCTGCCTACCTAAACTTTCCTCTAAGTTTTTGTGCTGGTTTGATAATCATGCGTATTTCTCAAGAGTGCTATAATGAGCAAGAATAAAGGCGACTAATATTACGCCATCCACGAGTCTTGCTGCTGTCGTATTGCAACATTTCATAAGGGTGGTGTATACATTATGCTGCGCATTTATTATGTTGGTGCAGATAAGTGTGATTATATGTACATTGAACACAGACAATGATTTAAAAATACAATTAAACAAAATTGCGTTCTCGCTTAAATCTCTAATAATCGTTTGTGTCTGTTTTATACAACAATTTTGCTTCCAGGCAAATGTCTTAAATGGTTCGTTAGTTATAGAATTAGACAATATCGCATTTCTATTTTGATTTCGCAAAAGGTGGACTGAACAATGCATATTAATGAAATGGTAATTCGGTTTTCGTGATTCAGATACGAATGCAATTAACTTCGAAAAACTGGCTATATATGGCATAACAATCGCTCCTAACATTATGTTTAGCAACGTTTATCTTCGAAGACGGTGTCGCCATGGCATTTTTTGTAACTTTAATCGACGATGAAAGAGAGAAACAATGCTTGGAACCTAATGTCCATATCAAATGTTGTGGATATAAGTGTCAATCTTTTCACTACAATGGATGACCTACTTTTGTAAAATTGCTTATGACCTGCTTTGAAACGCACGATTGTCCGAGTCAATTTGTAGATTGGCATGGATTGTGAAGACACATATTGATCACGCGGCGATCAAAGTCAACGTGGTGTCATATTACGTTCAAAACTGGACGTTTGTAAAATTGCGGCACGTTTTTATGGATTTACCATTAGCATAATTCAAAAGATTAGAGAAAGTATAGATTTGAAAATGTTGAAATGATATATTTGATATGGAAGGATTACTGAGACTTGGAAGAATAAAGGGTGCATAGTCAGTAGAGTTTCAGCATCGAGAGTGAGCGAAACAGAAAGCTTAATCAAAGATAGAATAGGCTACATAGCATTAGAGAATTCCTACCAGAAAGCTCTTTGTCTGTGATAGAAAACATTGTTTTCAGCAAGTGGAATTCCACATTTATCGATATCAATATCATAGGTTCTATCCAAGATTATATCTTAAAAGGATATTTAAAAAACCTGATTCGGAATGATTTGATAGACTCAAGAAAAAAGTAAGTTGCATTCTTGTACCTTGAGAAAGAGATTGAAATAATGATTTATTAAAGTTCACTGCACATATGCCTATATATATAAATACTGCATTTTTATTCTGACACAGGTTTTGGACTCACGTTTTAGTATATCAAAGACTACTTGGAATATGGAACCCACATTTCAAACAAAGCAATGGCGAATTGCTGCAGCCAGTGCTTATATTGGCATGGTGAGTATATGTATAAGTCAGAAATACTTTGAATTTTATTTATAGATAAAATTATATACTGTTACACCGTGGTTCTTTCCAAGTGTGTATACTTAACAGCTGTCTCTACGGATAATATCTTATTCTGGCACTCTCTATTGGAGAGGTTGCTCAAGTAATTTTGTTATATACATTTCAAAGAGTTTTTCAAATTCCGGATTATTGGTGCCTTAGTAATAAGTTCAACGATACCGCTTACATTGCTTGCGATGGGAGGAATCAATGATTTAAACATTCTTGCTGTTCATTGTAATTCATTGAAGGTATGTAGACTGTTTATGATTGTCTGTATTTTTCTTATCTTGATGTTCATGAGCAAGCTTGTAATTATTACCTACGTACGCCGCAAAACGATGCTACACATGTGGGATGTGCCACAAAACGACATATTACTCATACGTATATATATATATATAAATATTTAGAGCATAGGTGACTGTTCGATATTCAATCAGTTCCAATGAAATGCCATGTTGTTATCATTATAGGCAAAAATTATGTATATATGATATATTTTTTATAATATTGACAATATGTTTTTATGATATATAAATTTGGTTATGATATATATTTTTTTTATGATTTAAAAGTATATTCCGCTAGTTTTCATAAAAATCTACGTTTTAAAACTATATATTCAAAAAGTCGTTTTTTTATTTGAATATGCTACCCAGTAATTTTGTATGTATATATATAGCATATATCCATGTCTTAAATAGAGTTACAGAAAGCTTTCTTACTTATATGAGGGACTTGCATCATCAAACTATCGCTAACAGAAAGCAATGGTTTTAATTCTTAGTCTACTCTTTAACATTTTTTTAGACCATCCAATACTGGTTTCTCGGATGGGGTGGCTTGATACTGGTGGCCGAATTTATGGCTGTCGTTGCGTCGATGAAAAAACACAAAATATTTCGGATCGTTGTAAATCAAACAGTATTTATATGTGTATCCAACTTAATCTCATCGCTCAGTCATATGGAAATTAATTAAAGCGTTGAATGTACTTACCCATACACATGCAAAAATCATGATCTATTAAAGTCTCAAACTACATTAATTAAATACCAGGTGACGGCGATGCTGCTGATAACGATAATGTTCTCATTAACGTTGGTTATTTGGGGATCTGTTGAAAGTGACGGGAGAAAAATTTATTTCCAATCAACTTGGAATGATATGGATGATGGCACAAAGCATTTCATTGAATCTTACGTAAGTTTTGGACTCTCTAAAGAATTAGTTGGCGTGCTCTTAGTATTAGCCTGTAATGATTTTACAATGATGGTGATACTAATTATTCGTATTATGATGGTCAGTCAAAATAAAATCCTCCTAATAGCGACACCTCGCGCTTTTTTTTCGTTTTGTTTTGTTTCGCGCTTTTTCGTCGCTCAAAACGCATCGCGTGAAAGAGCGACATCCTGCGAACAACGACAGAACCAAGATTTACATTTCAGGCTCGACAACTTACACGGCGGTGCTTTTTGGGGAAAGGGTGTTTCTGTTGGGACAGAAAACATCAAATTATAGAGTCCCATGGTGGCGGAGAATAATTTTAGCCGGAAAAGTCTGCGAACTCGGTTCTGTTTTGTTTATTTGTTGAAAGTAGTTGCAGTAGATCGAATGAATTCTTTAGCAGACTGCCAGTACTCATTTTTGGGTTCGTAGGGTCACTTAAGAGGTAGGGTGGATTTTGAGTGGGGGAGGGGGGAGGATTTTTTTCAATATAGTCTGTTGGGAATGTCAATGGGCCGTCGTCATCGAAACTCATAAATAATTATTTTTTGGTACTAAGTACCCTTTTACAACAAAGATCAAAAGCACACTCATCGCCATATTTATCTTGGGTCTCTTAGAAGTTAGGCCCGGCGGAAAATTTCATCTTACCCCGTCCAATTTTTTTTTTCCATTTGCGTATAAAAATACGCCCAAGGGTATGCCAAGAAATTACAAAATAAATACTTCTAGTCCGTCCGTGTAAAGAAGATATAAAAATTGCAGTTGAAAAAGTGCAAACTAAATTTTAAATTTCTACTTTTCCTAAAACTGTTCAAACTCTTTTGAAAATTGCCCTGTTATGTCCTTTATGGGGTAAGACGGACATACATTTTAATATGCAAGAAAAGTGATCTGTTTTAAAAGAAATGTAAGAGACATAATCCTGGGCCATCTAAGCGTTGACCGAAGTCTTATGACCGAAATCTTAGACACCATCAAGTTTATTTTGGTGTGTGTCTAACTTACCCCGATATTTTTTTTAGCTGAAAATCGGGCGTAAATTCCGATTCGTTGCTATGGCAACAATGTGCAAATGTGGCAAGATAGCTGGAGGGTGGGTGCATAAATCAAACGTAGAACGAATGCAGCTGCGACATTATTTGAAGAGTTATTCAAAATAACTTATTAGTGGGTCCGACTTCCCCCGACCTACTATATATGAAAATACAGCCGATAAATTTATTCGATATGAACAATAATATTTCGTTTATTGTCGAGTCGAAAATAAACAACGGATTATTATTGTGGGTCAGTGGTGTGTTGATAATTTTTACACTGACTGGAATTTATAATTACATCATCTAGCACAGGAAAAAAAATTAATCTGTATGCCATTTCCACTATTTCCGATTTCATTTAAAACAATATTTTACGCAACTTAGAACTTAAAATAATGATTTTTACAGTACTATATACCGAAAACAAGCATTGTAATCAGTGTCTGCGAATCAATACATACATATATATATATATCCATAATGTTTCAAATATTTATTATGGCTATTTTTCAGTTCTACTGTTGCGGATACGAAAGCAAAATCGAGTACACAACAACACTATTTCCACTAGACAATGCATGTTATGCAATTCCATCAGAAAACACAACTTGGCCTGAAGGTTGTTATAACCGCGTTATTTCTTCATATTTGACCCCAATTACTCTGACAAATTCAGTAGGTGTAACTAACACCATCGGAACCGGGAAAGTCAATCCATTTCTTGTTGCATTCATCTTTACGTTCATGGTTATTATACTCACTGTTGGAATATCTACCGCAACCTTTATCGCAGCCATGCTCAACACTTCTAGGCCAATAAAGCCACCAACGCCAAATGATTTTGTTCTCGAAAATGCCACTGCAAAAACATACGGGGAACCAATACAGAATGGAAAAGATGCGATTTCGGCTGGTGACAACGACGTAGATGTGGAAACAATTCAAATATCTAATACTATGAGTAAAAATTTGAGCGCAACTGAAAAAGCACGGAAGGAATCAAGCGCAGAACCTGAAGCGGGACTTGATACAAACGAGGCCAATTCTAATTCCAAAGATCATATTACTACGAAAAAGATATGGTATAATAGAATACCGGATACTATATCTGAGGTCATTGGGGACACGTTTTATTGGATCGGATTTCGAGTAGGGAAGCATCCCAAATCTACTATTATATATTCACTGATATTAACAGGTACGTTGAGATCTCCCAACATTTATATTCAAAAGTCGTTCCAATTTGACATTTCGAGAAGTGCAAGAAATCTCTACACCAATCGTCCTTTTATGTTTAAAATATATATTTAGGTTTTTTGGCTCTTATCTGATACATAGCTGAGTATTGCCATTGATATATCATTATTTATGTTTTAGTCGCGATGTCCGTGGGTTTGCTACAACGTTATGAAGATACCTCCACAAACGATATCGCTTTTTTGGTGGACGACAATCCGCGATTGATAGAGTATAATATTTTTCTACGAACTTTCATCACCGAGGAAAGAGGCCAGAGCTTGATTGTCGAAGATGAAACAAATGTGCTTTCTTCGGAAAACTTTATTACGACTTTAAATTTGGAAAATAGGTAATAGAGTGAACGCATTTAGCGTGAAATTGTTTATATGTTGTACAAATAAAATAACCAGGTTGGAACTAATCCAACCCAATTCAAAAATAAGAAAGTCGGTCTAGTTTACCATATGTTGACTTTTCGTCGAACATTTCGGCTGTAATTTCGAGTCCGGCTATAATACCAACTAACAGAATCCAACTTCACAGCCTTGCGAATAACCAAGAAAATATGATAGGAATATTGATATAGATTATAACATATGAGGCGACATCAATGCATACTAATAGAAGAGCTCCATTTTAGATCTGTTATCCTCATTATTGCTCTTTCAGCGTGAAAAACTTGACAAGCTCAACGGGTCAAACATTTTCCGACATCTGTTTGTCAATATCCGGGAATTGTAAACAACGATCGCTGTTCGAGTTTTGGGAATTCGATAACGCAATGATAGAGGGACTATCAAACAGTGATATTCTGGCTAAAATTAACGAAAACCCACTGACGAGTCCTGTTTTTGGCGACAACGTTGATGTTACACATACAATCGGTGAGTCGTCGTCTTTTCATGAATCTTGATTAGGTGTAACAGTACACATAACCCTATTATCAAGGAAACGTAATATGACATGACTTTGGTGAGCCAATAAACAAATGTGCTTCCCACTTATATCGTTAAGCACCACATATAATTGTTTTTACTTTACGAGGGCAACTAGAAACTACGCACACATACCTAAGCCATTTTTTCTGCTGCATTCGTTTTCTTTTCTCATTCTCACGAGATAATGTAAAACATTTCTTTGTCTAGGAGGTTTGCAAAGAGATGCGTCAGGAAGCATAATATCAGCAAAGGCTCATTTACTGCATTATGTCACGACGTAAGGCTAGACCTAACATTTTTCAGTTAGAGATAAATAGTCTATGTAAAATCTAATCCTACCTTAAATTATAGTGAACCAAGCTGCTTGGCTTGGGCGTAAAATCGTAGATATACCGGTTGTAGTCCCATTACTGGAGAAACTGTAATAATCTGCAGCATCGATTTCAATTTTCAATAATTTAGGAACACAACACGCGGTAAAACAGGCTCATCATACCTGTAGGTCAGTCAGCTAAATGACTCTTCGTTGTGAACTATCTTCATGTTGATCAGCTTTCATCCGCGCTAACGGAAAATAGCAGACCAACAGACATGGGCAAATTTAACAATGTACCTATATTTTATAAATATAGTTAATACGCTCTTAGAAAACAAGTCATTTCAACCAAACCTGATCCGCGAGTTACCGCAGTTTATCATGACGAGCAACACTTTCTCAGCCAAACACGTCCGTAATCCGTATACGTATTCCTGAACCTAGCGTTGCCAGTTTTTGTTTATTGCCGATTCGCTGCGGTTGAGACATACTTTACATTTACAAGAATGAGACAAATTGATTAACTGCACAGAAACAACAATTTCTTACAGAACTATCGGAAATAACTGGGAAGATTTATTCATCGAAAACGCCAAGCAGGGCCGCAGCGGTCTGAATGTATATCTTTCAGCATATTCAAGCCGGGTTTTAGAGGAAGGCAATATATTTACAAGAGAACTTCCATTACTTATCATTGGATTTAGTTTGATTTTCATTTACATCATCTTAATGAGCGGAAAATTTTCTCTTTTGGAGCATAAGTATGTAGCCTACTTCTTGTTTTTCTTTAACACAAAAAAGCAAGATAGTAGAGCGGCAATATTTTACCTCTTTTTAAGAACGCACGTCGCTTTAATGGGAGTTACTGCTGCTGGCCTTTCAATGGCGAGTGGAATTGGACTTGTAGCATCGTTCGGTCTGAAATGGACTTCGTTGAATGTGATTGTTCCATTCTTAGCAATAGCTATTGGTGTTGATGACATGTTCGTGCTGCTTCAGGCGTGGAGTGGCGTGGAGGATGACAAAAATCTTAGGGATAAGAGCATACCTGAGAAGGCCGGACTCACATTGCGAGTAAGCGTTGTCGAATTTTGTGAGAATAAATTTTACGCTTGCGACTGGAAAGCCTCTAGTTAATTGCAATTTATTCTGTAATTGTACTACATTGTCTCGCATGTGGTCAACTTTTCCCATTTCTCCAAAAGCACCTAAGAATAAAATGAAAATATTTTATCCTAACAGACAGCCGGAGCTTCTATCACAGTGACTTCAATTACAGATTTGGTAGTTTTTTCGATCGGTGCAACCAGTAGTCTCGGAGCTTTTGCATCCTTCAACATTTACGTAGCAATTTGCATCCTATTGTTGTTCTTTATAGAGGTGAGGTAATTATATAAAGCTGATATTTGCCATAGGGATTTTTCTTTCGTGATCGCTTTGGATGTACTCGAAAGTCATTCATAACGTGAAGTTCAAGTGAAATAGGTTATTTATTTCTATTTTATCAGTGTACTTTCTTCCTGGCCATTCTATGCCTTGACCAACGCCGCAAAGATGAAAGGTACGATGCATGTCTTACTTGTTGTTATAAACACAAAGATACATATAAAGCAGGAAAATGTTCGGAGCGAGAGGTGAGCTAGGTTTTATTTTCAGAAACTGTGATTCAGTCATGACTGTTTTTTCTGTAGACATGTAAGTCTGCTTTCCATATGAGTTTACGACATGTGCTTGATGAACCTTTCGCCCAAGAAAGAGGGATAGGTGTTTGGTAAGCTTTAAAAATGCGGTACTCCCGGAATATGTGAACCAAGATTGCGGACAGCGGAACGTAGAATGTGTACCAGGTTAGGGATAGGCCATAATTTTATTCCAACTTTCCTCATTTTAGTTCTATTACGAGTTCGGGGACAAGCCAGATGATTTCCGTAGTATTTGTACCTGAAATTAAGGCCTAACCCTAACCTGGTACACATACTACGTTCCGGTGTCCGCCATCTTGGTTCAAATACTTCGGGAGTATCAAAAATGCTATTGCAAACGAATAAGAAATTATGCAATAAAATAATGTTATTGACTATGTTAGTGTTAGATGAACAATTAAATAACAATGATGCATAATAACTTTTTTTTAGTTCTTTCAAATGTTTTTTGAAGACGGACTTGGGCGCATCGTAACAAAATTACCTTTTGCTATAATTGTCATTCTAATCACTCTTGGACTGACAGGATTTATGGTCTGGGGATTCTATAATTTGAAAATTGAGTTTGATGCAGATTGGTATTTACCCTCAACCAGGTAAATCGATTGTAATGGATGATTCTATATATTGCAGATCTAAAATCCAAATTTTGAACATTTCCTACAAATAACTAATGCGGAGAAAATGAGATTAATTTTGTTACAACTCCTACTTATTTTTATACTTAATGTTGTCTCCGGCCGGGTATTTCTATATAACAAATTTTCCTATATGAAACTTGATATGTTCCAACTACTAGAATATAACAACGTTTATATTCAGTTACCTCGTTACTTTCAACAATAAATATGATGAATACTTCGACGTTGGCGCATCAGCAGCTGCTTATGTTATTGAAACTGACTTCTACACTGAGAGAGAAAAACTGCACACTCTATATGAAAGGATACAGGCCAACTCTAAGATTGATACTACGTATCTTAGAAGGTAAAAACTGCTATGTAGTGAAGGAATAACAAAGCTTCAAGCGCTCTGAAAAAGCCATACTGTTTAAAGCAGAGCCATAAGTCCTGATAATCCATCTCTGTTTAATATGAGGGGAAAAAAGTTTCATTATTTGTTCACTCTAGTCTTGTCAGATATATACAAACTCAAACTCAGCCAAAAACCATTGGTATTGCCAGTAACACATTCCTCTTTCTTGTATTTGATTCAGTTGGTTTGAAAATTATGTGCTGTGGTGCGCAACTGCAAAAGGAATATCCGATGTTTACGCAGAAAATGCATTCTCTAGTTCAACTGCATTTTACACTTCTGTTAATGAGTTTTTATCTTCAACTGGGAGTCACTTTGTTCATGTAAGCATTGCTGTTTAATTCAGGATTCATTGAGAATAATTCAATAAATTTAATGGCTAATATTATTTCAATTAATAATATTAATAGAATTAAATAAAACATAATATTCAATAAATTGAATAAACTGTTTTGGACAATAATGACAATTAGGAGAGAGCAGAGAAAAATTGCAATTTGTTTCAGGATGTTGTGTTCAAGGATAATGTTATCATCGGATCACGGTTTCATTTTCGTCATATATTGGTTCCCACTGACGCAGATAATATAGAAATTGTTGAGTCTTTGCAAGCAGACTGCAATTACGCTGGATTCAGTACGGGATACTGTTTTTCTCGCGGACCGTAAGATACTCATCTGTACAATATATATATCACAGAAAACTTAGAATACCGTTAAAATCACGAACGATTAGACTCGGCAAAAGATGATCCATCATCCCGAGTGATCTAAATAGTCATTCAGCGAACTTTTCTATCTGTTGACACCTATTTTCAGATTCTACTTGTTTTACGAGATAGTAAGGATTATCGGACTGGAAGTTTACAGGAATTTAGGAATCGCATTAGCTTGCGTATTTATCATGGTGCTCCCAATGCTTTCAAGTCTACAGATGGGATTTTGGGTGACACTATGTGTCGTATTTACAACCGTCGACGTTGCCGGGACTATGTATTTAGCAGGTAAGTATCCACAGTTCTTTGTGTTGAGAGAAAACAAAAATGTGAATGTTTAATCAGAATATAATCTCAAATATAGGTCTTGCCATTGAAGCCAGCACCGTGATAACGTTGCTCCTATCCATTGGATTGGCAGTCGATTATGCGGCGCACGTGGGCCACAAGTTCTTGTTATTGAAAGGATCTCGAAAAATGAGAATAAGAACAGCTTTAGGTCGAATCGGTCTCGCTGTTTTCAATGGAGGATTCAGCACGTTTCTTGCACTTGTTGCACTGTCCGCGTCGGATACTTACACTTACAGGGTGTTTTTTACGGTTTGTGGACTTTTTGTAGTCTAAGGTCTAGGAATATTTTTAGTGATATCTGTGTACATTTACTGCGGTAGAACAGCCAGCGCTCATCCCAAAATGCCCAAGTGCGGTTTAAAGTATTGTGGCGTCTGAAGCTGCCGCAAAACCATGGCGGTATTTCCAAACCATGGCAGGAGCTAGCATGAAGTGGTAAGAACTGCGACTCAAAATGCTAGCATATAGGTTTCTGAGAAATCTTTCCAGGATTATTACCAATAATACACAACCCAACTAGACTCAAAGTAGTTCAAATCAACATGAACAGAAAATGAGCCCAGAGGTGATGACCGCCACATACATATAAATAAATTATGTCACTTTCGGCATAAAATTTCTGACAACAAAAGACATTGTCATAAGAAAAAAAACTTCAAATAAAACCTCTACAGCATTTTTTTATTTCTTCAGATATGTGCTTGTGTCGTTGGATTTGGTTTATGGAACGGATTAGTATTTCTACCATGTGTATTAGCTTTCGTTGGGCCACAACCTCTTATAACTGCAACTGAAGCGCGATTGAGTACAAGGCACCATGCTAAAAAAACTAAAGTTCAAAATACAACTACACAATCGCAACATGACTAAGCGATTGAAAGCCTTTAGATTCAAATTTTTATCATTTATGTGTATAATTGAGGACTATGAATCATTGCGACTAAAACAGGTACGACGTCGCGTTTTCAGATATTGCGACATTTATCGAAGCCATAACCCTCAATTTTTTCAAATTTAACTTACTCAATATACCTACTTATACTATAATAATATACTTACTTACTTATTTAACTTACTCAAGATATTTACTTATATATCGATCTTGTCAGGTCTAGCGATTATGAGATATAAGATTAGATATACTAACACAGTTAATGCCAAACATTTGCAACGTTTAACATTGATATAGTGGGAAGAAAACGCCGGAAAAGTTTTTTTCTATTCTTAAATTGTATAGCTTATGTTTTATAATAAAATTATTAATGAGCACCGGAGTTTTTAATTCTCGAAGGTATAAATTTGGAAAAAAAAATACTACTATGAAGTACAGTATATATATATATTTAGAAGTTGTATGATGCAACCAGCCGAGGCACCGCTGCCATAATAATATTTAACAACTCATTAGAAGTGTACGACCGAAAACCCGAAGCAGGCCCATACGGAAACGTTGCCCATTCCAGTGCATATTACCAACGAAAGAGAAATTTTTCACCAGGTTTATACTAGGGAGCAATACTTTACAGAGAGCCTACACCTTGCCACAAAATATTCACCGACCTACCTACCCACGGCGTTGAAATGAATATGAACCAGTTAAAAATCTACACCTCGCCACAAAATATCCACCGACCTATCCACGGTGTTGAATTGAATATCAACCAGTTAATGAACTTTGTAGAGCTAGACATAAACCATGCCACTTTATTTATCAATATAGCAAGCGTTTATGTACGCAACAACCTAATCCCATGGGCGATATGGCATGAACTCAACTAGATTGAGACTAACCAAGAATCCAACGCACAAATTACAAAAATGAGCAGTGCACATTTCTCTATTCTAAATGATAATATGACATGCAATTCCAAATTTGGAAAGCATGAATTCAAGACACCCAAACAGCATTAATATATTGAGAATACTAATTAAGTATGAAGTCACTCATTAAAACTTTTATGTATTTTATAATTATTAAAAATTCAACTTATTTTAAAAATGACAATCCAGAGCTAAAAAAAATCAAGCACTGTATAATTTTAACATTTTTCTCCTAATCCGCCTCACTAGAAACTTGCAGGAAAATCATGGAAAAATTATTTTAAAGAGATTGCTAAAATTTCATAAAATCACCAATAATAGAGTGAATAGAATTAAAAATAGAAGCTAATAATGCAAAAAACAAACAATTTCATTGAGTATAATATCCCTATTAAGTGGCTGTTGCATTCGGCCATATTAATAAGACCAAATGATACAGTAGTATCTTACAAATACTTCAATATTGAAAATTGAAGTCATTCCAGATTTAACAGGAAACAATAAAAAATAATAATTCACCCTCGATTAACCCTGGTTCATTGATAATCATGTTTTTCCAAGGAAATTTATCAACGATCCATGGATGATAGGGAATAATGGTTAGTTCATTAGTGATTAAGAAAAAATGTATTGGATGTGTAGGAATCAGTCTGCCAGTATAAACGAGTGGGGAGCGGCATCAAGTTTATAGATTTGGTTGGAAAACTTGACCTTGTGCTATCATGGCATCAGCAACCTTCTTGAACCCAGCAGCATTTGCTCCAAGTTGATAATCACCTGAAGATATAAAAAAAATACCATACAGAAAATTCCCACTTATAACAAAAAAGAATAGGATTTACATATTTATCCGGGAGAAGAGGAGAGCCGATAGGACTGCTTAATCATATGGCGAACTACGACCTCTCTTCTGTTTTCCAGCCAATGTCAGGTATGAGATTAATTAGCCAGTTATTTGTTCCAGGTGCATGGACTTAATGGTAGAGGAGGCCGTGACACAAGTAATTGAGGTACAGCTCACAGGCTATATTAATTAACTTTCTTTCTAAATATGCCTGGAAATTTATCATGATTATGAATTGCGTACAGTGATAACCCGGTAGACAAACTTAATTAGTTCAGCATTGGTGTACGACTACTTATTTGTTCGAGTACCGAAACTTTTTTTCCATAAGCAACTATAGTATTTATTTTAATTCGTTCTTTTGCATTCTAAAATAACAAAAATATTAACAAAAGCGTAACAACAATATCGGTACCGGCCTTACCGGTAGTCCACTGTGACAGATTGCATACCCATACTATTTCTTGTTGATACCTAAATATTTTTTCTGAAGCCCCATCTTTTTATGTTGCAAAGCGAGCCCATTAAAATTTCCTTATAAATTTTGTTCGCTCTCCATAAACCTCAATATATAATATATTTATGTGTGTTGTGCAAAAATTATGTTTATATACATATGTCCCAAAACTTTCGGCAGATTCTAAAATAGATGACAGCCAGCCAGCCAAACTGTGTATACAAAATTACAATACTATAAACTACTCAAGATAATGAAGCATAGAAACCAATAATTCACCCACAATTCAGTAATACCAACGATTTTCAAAATATTTATCCCATTTCTATTTTGATTAGGCCACGTATAAATTTGCCCAGGGCAAAAAGCGCAAGCAAATTGTCAGAATGACTTCAAAAAATAATTTTATATAAATATTGAATAGCGTTAACATTATGCTACTGAGATCATACTTCTGTGTGAGCTTTGATAAACTTTACTCCTGAAAACAACATGAACTTTAACCAGTGTTCATAAATATATTGACTCATAATATTAAGATTGACAGTTCAGAGCGTTACCACCAGCCATAAATGAACAACATTTAAGCCTGCAGCTAAAACCGTTAAAAAAATTTCGGAAATTTTGAGTTGCCACAATCAGGAAGTAGATCAATATTTGTAACCAAATTTGGTAACAGAATCTGTTTTGTTTATTTTTGATTTCTTATTCATTTACAACTACCGAAATCCCAATAACAAATAAAATGAAAGCTGAAAAAATTTCAGTGAGACAAAAACTATTAAAATTAAAACATTCCAATTAATGGAGGGGGTTTAAGTTAACTTCATTTTTGTTTCAATTTTACCATTCAGATCATATTCATTGCAGAGAATATTACAAAAAAAATTCAAATCAATTATTTATTAAAAATGGTCTTCATAAAAATTCGGAGGATCAATATAACTGTTTTTCACAATAATTTATCGGATATTAAGGTGGCCTAATAGTAGTTTTGCTAAATTATGCAGTTAAATCATTGAGGCTCTCCCCATCAACTAGTGCCCTATGTTACAAGTTTTCAATAATTAGAGATGGAAGAGACTGCTGAAGGACATTACTCTTAGGTATTTTTCAAATTTTCCTGTACAGGGCTCAACATTTAACGCTAAATTTCACTGGTATTTCATAATTTTAGTGCACACCTTCATATGAGATTCAGCACAGTTCTGGTAATGATAACAGTAGGCTGGAATTTTGCAAACATCACCACAGCAAATAATTAAATAAGTAATTTTGTCAGTACCTTTTATTGCCAAATTCAAAAGTATTTTATCATAAGACAACAAACTGGTATATTGTTCAATTGATATACCGTATTTATTCAATTATAACGCGTACTCGTGTATAACGCGCACCTTTAAATTTTGAATGAAAATTGGTATAAAATTCTTTTTTTTATTTTTTCTCTACTAACTACTACCTCGTGTATAACGCGCAGCATTGATTTTTGCCTAAAATTCAGTTCAAAATTTTTCGCGTTATAATCGAATAAATACGGTAATTGAAACTTAATATTGTCAGGATCAATTTCTACATTCGAGCGTACATCTGTTGCTTTCGCCATTATTAATTGTAACGAACACTGAACTTGCCCTGTAAATCAACATATCCCTGGGGAATGAGGATAGATATATTATTGTACTTGAGCATGCAAGACAGGCTAGGCATAAATCCTAACTTCTTTATAGACGAATATGCCACTGTAATTTATTTTGCAAATTTATACCTGGTTTTCCCAAATCCTTGGCAGTGTCTCGGCAGGTTTCAAAAATGTTTTTCATGATTCCTTGTAATTTATCATCAACTTCTTGTCTTGTCCAATGTACTCTCCCAGAATTTTGTGCCATTTCCAAACCAGAAACAGCTACACCTCCCGCATTGGCAGCCTGTTGAAAATTAGAAATTTCTTTAATTAACATAAAAGCACAAATATATTGCAGGGAAATACAGCAAGCATCCTGGGAATAGAAATGACCCAATCTGCTTCATGATAATTTCGATTTCAAAGTCTAGGAAACTACTATCAATTGGCCCTCGCCTGCCCATTTTATCACACCCGGTATAATTTGACATGAACATCTATTTCATTGCGAGAACGAAGAGTTTTGATTTTTACATCAATATTATTGGGTCGGATGTTATTGAGTAAAACCTTTTCCAGTGTCATTAATTTTTACTTCCATTTGAAAAAATTCTTTGGGCATTATTAAATCTTATGAAAAGAAGAATTAAAAAAACATCATTTTAATCAATATTATATAAAAGAATGTTACATTGGGACCAAACATTGATTTTACAATTTTGTTCCTACTGCACAACTCTTTAAATAATTCATAATTTTTCGATCAGACCTTTCTGTCTAGACTACTGTTTAATTTTATAGCAAGAAGATAAATATATATATCACCTTCGCTGGGAAATAGACAACTTTATTTGCTTTGAAAATTTCAATAGCATCGTTTGTCGACGGCATGTTAGCACCTTCAAACACATATTTGCATCCATTCTTCACAAGAGCATCAGCATCAGCTTTCTCAACTTCATTTTGTGTTGCGCTTGGCAAAGCAACATCACAAGCAATATGCCATGGCCGTTTGCCATCAAAATACCTTTGGAATAAGAAAATGAGAGTTTAGATTTATTTCTAAAGCTACTCTTTGGAAAGAGCTATAGACAACTTCAATGTCTCACTGATGTAGCTTGCTTTTTATTCGATAATTACTTCCCATGATAATTCGTCAGCCACACCCAGGATGTCCAAATTGATTTGAACCGATTTGTAATTTATTGCATTCCATATTATAAATTTTCTATTATAGCAATAACTCTCAAAAATTATTATTTTAATGAATTTGACGTCGAAAGATGAAGATTTTGAATTTTGAAAACTATCTATCAGTTATATATATTTACGAATAAGACTTACTGAGCAGTACTAGACTCGTGTAAATACTCTTTACATCTGCCTCGTCTCTCTTTGATAGCGACAAGTTTATCACATTTAGCTTTATCAAAACCATTAGGCTGTATGAAAATAAGAAAGATAAATTTAATATAGAATTAATATGGCATGGAGGATAAATTTAAAGTGTGATCAATAAATTCATCATGTTTCTAAATATTGCTGTAATTCTTAAATTCTGCTTCATGATTAATTTTGATTATGAATAATTGAAATAAATGCCATATGAAACAAAATCAAGAGATCCCATCGCGTCATCTCATATTTGTGACAACAAAAATCGAACCTGCAAAAAAGCTTAATGTTCTGGAGTGAAGGAAAGTTTGTATATGGCCTGCTATTGTGTTCATCATATTTATATTAAATAGGTATTTAGATGGATGACAGTTCAGTACCTCATAAATGGTTCCTGATGAGTCACTGAAAGTAAGCACAGTTGCTCCAAAATGCAAACATTTCTCAGCAGCAAATTGAGCAACATTACCAGATCCAGAGATTGTAACTTTCTTGCCTTCAAGTGTGTCACCATGTTCAATAGCAGCAAAGTTCAAAGCATAGACACAACCATAACCTGGAATTATTTGTCAAATAATTAGTCAAAATACCTGTGATATAATTTTATATCTATCAGTTCTTCGAAATTTAATAACGATTTTTCTCTGCAAAAGATATGAAGGCAATCCTGATTTTTATCGAATTCTCAGTTTGAAACAGAAGTCTTGAGACTGAAAGTTTTTTTTTCAATGCTTACATGACAGTTCCGTTAGTATACATAATATTGCAAAGTCAATATAATGTAAGCATGCATCAGTAACAGATGCATTTTGATAAACTCAAATCCCTGCATTATCACATATTATAACCATCAATATCCATGACAGCATAATATTAAATCAGCTTCTACATAATTCGAAGCACAGAATCTGTTTGACACAGATTGTTGAGACCAAATACAAGATGGCAGCAAAAAAACAGGCAAAACACATTGACAGATTAGAATACAAGGCAAGAGATTTTGAAAATATAATAATAGTCAGTAATAATTTGGCCTATTTATTAGATCAAATTAACAAAACTAGCGGTGAACTTCCAATTTACATCATAAAATTACCAACCTGTGGCTTCAGGTCTGATGAGTGATCCACCCCATCCCCAACCTTTTCCTGTTAAAACACCAACATGATCATGTGTAATTCTTTTATATTGACCAAACAAAAATCCGATCTCTCGTCCACCAACTCCAATGTCACCAGCTGGTACATCACAGTCCTAAAAATGTTGTACAATATTTATAGAAATGCAAAATACTGTTGTATGCAACTTTACGATTGGTTAAGATTTCCATATTAATCGCAAAAAAGGGGAGAAGATTACAAGACAATTTCATTATATAGTAAACCACAGCATCCCATCTGGTTAATAGTCCATGTCCTGTCCAGTATGGGAATAGTTGGCCAGTTATTTGTTTCAGATGCATGGACTTGATGGTGGAGGAAGTTGTAACCAAACAGCAGACTATGATGACGAGCAGTCCAGTAATCAGAGATGCGATGGCAAGCGTAATCCTTGACATGCCAATGGAATTCATCAAAATTATGATCATGTCTAAATATCTCACACCATAGCTTAGAAGGATGATCCAACCGTTATAGGAACAAAGAGAAAAGCCAACATACTGGTCCAATGTGTCTGTACAATTCAGTCATGAAACTCTGACAGAAACGTAAAACCTCAGCATCAGATTTGCCTTTAGGATCGAAATCTGAACCTCCCTTTCCACCTCCCATAGGGAGAGTCGTCAGAGCATTCTTAAAAATTTGTTCGAAGCCAAGAAACTTGATGATTGACAGGTTGACAGAAGGGTGGAAACGCTGAAAACAATGAGCGTTAATTAGTGAGATATATTAGGCATTTGTCAAAACAATGTATGTTCATTTCTTATGATTGCTTTAAATTTATAAACTGTTTATTCCTTTAAATGTAACACTGTTTACAGGTTTTCATAGTACATATCCTTCTATTAATATCCTACAACAATGACATTAATATATTTCAGATTTTTTTATGAATTCATTAACCTGTTTTCTGAAAAACGACAATTTGTGGATGCTGATAAATAGTACTTTCTGAAAAATCTTGATATATTATTCATAATTCCAATATTAATTCAATTCAAAAAATACCAAATATAGATATATACCAGGCCACCTATACAAATAATGCCATATTAATCTAATAAAAACTTTTTCGATATTTGACTTCATCAGAACTTGTGATGGGAGCGATTCCTGAAAACGAAAAATTTGTGGGCAAACAACATGGGAAATGTGATTTATTGTAATAAATAACCCACAAGAACATATTCCATGAAATGTGTTTCGATAGATACATAGCCTAATATTCTTAGAATTTACTATCAAAAAGTCAACATTGTTGGCTTACTGTTACCAACCGTAATAACCAATAAATAAAGATCAGTAAATTGGGTGAAATCAATCAAAATTATGATGATTGATAAATATCTCACACCATATATTGGTAGTTTAAAAAATATATCAATGTCTGTCCAAACAAGGCTGAAGGTTTCATTGTAATGGAAACCTAAATGAATCATTAACCTATAAAATATAGTATACTTCATGCATTTTCATTACAGTGTACCTAACATGCCAGACGTCATGGGTATCCCATGATTTCAAAGCATGATATTTCACAACCTGCTGTTTTTAAGTAAAACAAGGTGATGGTTTGAATGTTTGAATAGACCACACAACACATCACTTGTAACTAAAGTGCTACGTCTAGCTCATATTAACCACAATGATAAAGGAATTGAACCTAAAATATTTTATCATAGTTATTTATAATGTTCATAATTTTTTAGGTCAATGATTTTTTATTCCTTCTATCAGTTATGTAAATTTTAATCCTTCATTGGCATATCCATATTTAAACTTTGTGTTTATTATTTCATTTCTTTGCTTACATATCACACAACTGCAAGCTGTTCAAGACTAATAAACATACAAAAACATCAATCCCATATTTTCAAAAATAAAATAGAACAACGTAACTTTTAGAATGGTAATTGCTTGTTCTAATTAACATTTGAAAAGAAAATTTTTGTACAAATCCATGGTAGGATTACATACCTTACTAAATTACTTCAAAAAAATAATGGAAATTGCTAGAGGCAAAAATTTATTTTGTGTAATCACAAGTACCATGATAGCTTGTCACGTCCAGTTTACCAATTTACTGTTAAATTGAAAAGAGAGAGATATGTAAGAGTGGAATATCAGCAAATTCTATTTTATCACATCTGCTACCAACTATGGTAGCAACTGCTTATTGCAATACAAAACATCAGATGCTCCAACGATGGACGTATTGCTTGCTGCTTGCAAATAACTACTGATTAATAACAGGAGGAAGTTATTATCAGATGCAGCCAATCAAATGATATCACCAATCACTCAACAACATAGGAACAGGTAATCAAAGTAGAAGCTTCAAAAAATATATTGGTGTAGCAGAAACATAGGAAGCAAAAAAAAAACAAAAATACTAAGATATTATAATTTATCATTGAATGGTATGAGAAAATAAGATAAATTATTATATATGAATTTCCAATGCTTTTGCCAGTTTTGAAAGAGTAACATGACATATTTCATGTAAGTAATGCTCCATGAAAAATTAATTAAGGAACCTCATTTTCTAAACTAAATCAGGCGTGATAGGATATGACCAATTTAAGCCAATAAGAACAACTTAAATGGGGGTGTGTCCTAATATGATTGAAAGAAGCGCTTACGCAAACATGGATCGAGCCAATGGCTCAAAGAAATTGCTGACAGTAGATTACACTATTGTTAATGATCAACCACAATTTGAAAACGTTGGAGACTGAAGCACTGGTTTTTATATGGGCCAATAAAAGACACACTGTCGAAAATGGCAACCTCAATCCCACACTTTTGTGTGAGATTAATAAATAAACTGTGTCAAGTCAGTGAATAAAGATTTTGAAATTAAACATGGGTATCTACATGATTGTCCAAGCTGTGATGACATCACCAAAAGCATATAATACGGGATTCCAAATTACAGAATAAACACAGCATAACTCATGTAATTCAATCATGCAAGCTTCATTTTCCTCTGGTCCACACATGAAAATATAGTATCAAACTTGGCTTTCAAAAAAGGTAAAGTAGAATCAAATCAAAATTAATGTGGAAGAATATATATTAATGAGTTACTTACTAAACCCCCTTTGTATGGCCCAATTGCCTGGTTGAATTGCACTCGAAAACCTCTGTTAACTTGCATTACACCCTGAAAACAAGAAATATTAATTGGAAATTCTGGTACTTCCCCCTAACTCCAACAACAGTATTTACGTGCAAGAATATAGCTATGAATATAATATGTTGTTAGGTATCACTATATGATGGATTCGTCCATCCACCATAAACTCATGCTCAGTGGCAATTAGATAGTATTAACACGGTGAGAGAAAACAAAACTGAAAATTATTTATCAGGCGAAGTTATATATGCAGCAATACATCATTTTACCCAACCGTTTTTTACTATTTATACTATAGCAACTTTCAAGCTCATAAATGTAACAAGACAAGTTAACTAGTTGAAAAATTATATTTGTCAAAATTTCTTGAAAAAATTTTCTAATCATCATTTCCAACAAGCTGTACCAATGACTGATAAATAATATGATTTTCACAATATTGAATGTTCAATTTGAAATAAACACCCACCTTGTCATCTTGCCATGGAACTCTGAATTGAATCGCTCTCTCTGGTTCACATGCTGTTGCAAGTACTTGTAAATATTTTGGGTATCTCTCAAAAAGAGGTCGCAATGATTGGACAACTTCATCTACCGCCTAAAAAATTGAAATTTAAGGAAATGCTATACATAAATCACATTATACAAATTTATATACTATATGAACTAAGAAGAAAAAATTAGTCCAAAGTGAAAGTGATAACAAAATTTATAACAAACAAACAATAATCAAAATTGAAACATGTATATTAATGTAATTAACTTTCGATATACATCAAGAAATAACACATTGAATAGCAATTCAATTGCTATTTTTAAAATTCTAAACCTATTTTAAGAAGGTCATTCATGCTGTATTTGTGATTTATAGATGAACAGATATTAAGTTCAAATTGAATATCCATAAAACACATAAACTTGGAATTTGGCTCAAAATAAAATTCTGTTTTATGTTTGGTCCATGTATAAAATTAGTAGACTAAAGAGTCATCTAACTTGGTAGACAAATAGTGCTAAACTCCACAGAGTCACTCATTAAGAAAGATTAACCGTCATATCATAGGAAACATATGGAAGTCAGGAAGTCGTTAGGAAATACATTAGTGAAGATAACGTTAAGTTATAATTTACCTGTAAAAACTCTGTTTGATTTGGGTCACGGCTTTTCACTTTAGCGTAGACTTCTTCCAAAGTTGCCATTATCAATCGATCTAATTCTGTCTCTGAGGTATACAACCTAAAAATTCAACAATTACATATTTAACATAGGGTGGCTTACCCACTTTGCGGCCATGACCTATCTGCGACCATCAACTTCATCGATTAAATTAATGCCGAAAAAATTAACGAACCGCGCCAATATTTCTCACGCGTTATCGTCCACTTATCCCTCGTAGCTCTACGAAATTACACTAAAATGCGGCCACAAATAAAAAAGTTACGACCGAAAACCTGACCGAAGAAAAAAAACGGACCATTTTACCATGTCGCCAACTACCCATTGTTCCTTCAAAAAAGGTTGAAAATCCATACAAATATAAGAGATAAAGAGATGAAACTTGGCAGGTGGGTAGAGTTGTGTTTCTTTTAACCATCTTTAAAGTTTCGCGTTTCTACCTCCAAAGGAGGGGGAGTAGGGGGGTGCGCATTTCCAATACGTCAATAATATCTTTGTCAACTAATTTGCGACCACTGTGTTTTTGTCTGTTTGATTGCTGTGATGCGGTGCTTTGTTTATAATTTGAAGAATTTTGTTCGAAATACCCGTGTTCTTAAAATATATGACGGTCAGAAATGCAATTAGAAGCCCATTTTTTCACGCATGGCTGCGTATGCCCTAGTCTCGACGCAGCAGAAACGATATTCAAGGCTTGAAATCCGTGGTCGCACACTGGTCGTTCGGTCGCAAATACGTCTTCAGAGTGTCGTACTGGTCGTAGAAAGTTAATTCGAAGTTCAGCGTGTAGAATAAATGCCAATGCACCTACGGTGAAAAAATTAACGGGTTAGAAATATTGGTTTTTGTTTTATAGCGGTTTGAATGAAATCGTCCGCAGACTGGCTACACCACCCTATCTCAGCATCGGCATAAGGTGATATGCGAAGGCCGATGTGTTCTTTCCATTGAAGAACTAAGACTAAAGCCACCCACCACTTGCAATTCAGTATTAGGGTACCCCTATATATTTTTTCTGGAACATGAAGCGCGAAGAAGGAAGAGGCATAACTGCATAATGGAGAATTGGTTTTCAAGTTTGGATTTTGCTTACAGAGTAATACAAATCCCATTTTAAAAGAGATGGGAAGAGTTGACGAAAGGGGGAAAATAACTTCCATTTAAGCATAAATTATATTTAATGTGGGCCTTCGCTTCAATTTTATAATAACTCGAGATAGTCTAAATATTGTATATTCTAACTGCAGTACCGTACCGTACTGTCTTACAGTCATAAGCTTCAGATACTTTTAAAAGGTAATATAATCTATGTTAGCCGATATGCGGATAAAATTAGTTGTTATATCTGTCTGTCTGTATATCGAGATAAGAGTTTGGTCAATTCAAAACGCTTGCAAAATAAAAAGAACTCTGCCTCATTGCAATCAAGCACGTGCAGCGTACGACGAACCGGCGCCGCAGCCGACTCAATTGCCGCTGGCTTTTGCAAAGTCACGCAGACAACGAGAAAAACGCGACGATGCCCACGTCGACACTGCTCGCTTGAAATACTCTTTCGTTGTTTGCTGTTTGACCACGCACAAATGGCTAAGCATGAAACAATTAACACATAAGGTATCCCGAAAGAGCGCCACTTGAGCCATTCATGAACGAATGTAATAAATTTCCTACACGCCTGATTACGCACGAATTCTGAACGAAAACACGAGTTTCAATTTAACAAAGGATAATTGAATACAAACACGTATTCAAGTATTTGAGAAGGCGAAAAATTGCTATTATAGTCGAAAAAGGAAAAAAATAACCACACTACTAGATACTACTGCCAATGTACCGACTGTTGAATGAGATCTAAACTAGCGACTCGGGTTCCAAATAGCCACTGTCAGAAGAGCGACTGTCAATAGAGCGATCACATGGCACCGATTAATTTAAAACAGCGACTGTCAATAGAGCGACTATACAACAGCGATTCATTTAAAACAGCGACTGCCACAACAGCGACATCACTTCCTTTATAAAATCCAAGCCTTACGCGCACACGCACTCTTTCACCCCCCCAGCACACACACCTTCCAACACACACACCTTCCATCCGTTACTTTCCTTTCCCGTCTGAACTTTTCATGGTACATGCGCTTTTTTATGCCAAAGTATAAGCGTGGTCGTATAATCAGCTGATCAATTGCTTTCCTTTTCCGCCTGATGGTTTGACGCAGATTTGTAGAAGAGCCAACAGCTGCTGCGACTTCTTCATTAACTTCGGTCATTGCATCCTGCACGATTCTTCGTGGTGGATCCCGTGTTCTTACTGCAGCTGTTTTCACAATGTTTTCAACTCTCCTGGCTGCCACTTCCGCAGGGTTTGGTGGATGCGTGTGGACGCCACTGCTCACTGGGGGTTGTTGTTGCTCACGATACCGAAGGCTTGTCGTTAGGCGACCTTTACAACCTGTTTTGGCACACCTCCAATTGATTGTATTTAACTTTGTTTTGTCATTTCTATACAAAAAGCCTTCATGACATATCATGTCACTTCCTTTTCTTGAAGTTATGAAATCCATTAGGGCAAATTTTTCAAACAACCTTAAAATTAATGTGACACGACATAGCGTTACCTTCCATCAACCGACCAGGAAATTCGACTCAGTGAATACGAGTTAAGTCTCTATCATAACAGTCGCTGTTTTAATGCGGTCGGCATTCATACAATCGCTGTTTGAAATGTCGCTCACTTGATTACGTCGCTATTATGTCACCATTATGACAGTCGCTGTTTTGACAGTCGCTATCCGGCCTGGATACCGATCGAGCCACGCTATTAGCTCTGTAACGCCTTATAGCGCTTGACTGTACCACAAAATGCTCACAACGTTTTCATTTGATTTCAAACAATGTACAATAATACTGTTGAAGTTAAACTAAAATTAATTTTGTAATCTTTAAAATATCAAGATATACATTCTTATATATGACTACTCGTGGATGCTCACCCTAAAACCATGGGCGTACCTAGGAATTTTCAAGGGGTTTGGGGTTCAGACATATCTAATTGTCAAGTTAGAACGAATGAGCTAGCGGGTCGGTCGGAGGCCGGAAAACGTTGGTTTCAAGAGTCTTGGGAACCTAAAAAGCGTTTCAAGCTACAAAAATGTATGATTGATACAGAAAAATGTGGGTCGTGGTAACTGTAATTGCCCAATTCAAATTGTTGCATACGTACCAGATACGAGATATTTTTATAATTGTGGTAATGATAGTAAATACCCACAAATCATTTGCAATAATAAATCATTTGAATGAAAAATGAACCAATTTTAAGATGTTATTCGAAAAGCGGAGAACTGGACATCGAGTTTGATTGCAGCTTGAAATCCAATCCACTATATTATATACCACCGTGATGTTCCACAAGGAGATGTGGCCTGACATCAAAAAGTTTTATACAATAATCAATCATTATCAACTATTTTCATCATCACAGACGAAATGTCTAGAAAAAGAAACCAAAGCAAGGTAAGATCTCACAAAGATTATATATATGCGAAACAGATTCGAAAAGTGAGGCAGTATATCCTTATCATTAAAATAGAATATATCATGAACATTCAATAAATATATATATATAAAATAATAAGAGATGGTTGGAGTTTGCTCATCGAAATAGAAGCAGGTGCTGTCGGTCATTGTACAATAGAACAGAACTGGTTGCCATATTGTACAGAAAATATCTTGTGCAAAGCATGCTTGGGATTCTCGCACACATGCTATAAACACGCAGCCAATAATACGTACTTCGTAGCTTTGATAGATAAAAGCTTATCGATTTAGAATTGCTTATTCAATTATATTAAATCCTAGGCGAGGTTCAAAACCCAAGGCTGGTATACATGATCCGAGGCATCGAGATATGTCCAACGTCTTAACCACAACGACATTTTTTGATATATTATGTCACAGAGTGCCGGTGATGACCCAACTCATATACATCGTCGAATTGAAGCGCGAATACACACATTTAATATATAAATTTTAATAACAAAATTACGCATTGATACAAGGATTCATACAAACGACAACTGTTATCGTGTTGGTGTGTTGGCAGCAGTGTTGTTCCCAGAAATTGCAAACGCGGTGAAAAATATTACTTCCGCAAAAGCTATCAGATATAAAGTAATCTCAAAATTTGAGTTGCACACAGCAAGCAATAGTACCTAACAAAATCACGCATTTATACAAGGATTCATACAAACGACAACTGAATCATGTTGATGTTTTCAACAGCGTTGTTCCCAGAAATTGCAAACGCGGTAAAAAAATATTACTTCCGCAAAAGTCATCAGATGTACAGAAGTTTCGAAATTCGCACTGCAAACATCAAGCAATAGTATATTCATTGCTGCCAGCCAACCGCATGACTAGCTGAATATATCACATTCTAATTTAAATGGGTATTCCCGCAGTGTGTGTACCAGGTTAGGCCATAATTTTATTCCAATTTTTCTTATTTTGGGTGTATTACGAGTTCGGGGATTGTCCGTGTTAGCCAAGTGTATATACCCCCTACCCATAGGCTTCAGTCTCTTCACACAACTTGATGTAAAGTAGGCGAACAAAATTAGTTACATCCATATTGTTACACACACTTCTGAAGCGCCTGCAAATGACATTAACAGTGTCTCTATTGGTCGGAAACAGTGAATGACGACCCTTGACGTAAGAGTCGTGTAAAGCTGTGGGCCATACTCGGCCAAATGCCAAAGTGGCATAAACAGAATGTTTTTTGCGGTCGTTTTCTTACAGAATCTTACCTGGCAAATTGAATCGTATGAATCCTAACGTTCCATTGATTATGCCTTTGTAGAGTCGTCGGCGCTGGTAAACAGTGAATATAGCTGCTGTAAAAACGTTGAGATAAATTTGCTATTTGTTTTCCAACACAAAATAATCTTACAGTTGCTCTTTTCATAACTAATTTCTATGATAGAGCAAAATATCGTTATGTAGGTCAAATATTCTAAGCCTGACTTCAAAACGAGGAAGCACTGCTAGACTTATTATACTGAATGTTATATTTAGGAAACAGGGGAGCAAATTGAAACTTTTTCGTCGCCTGAACCCTCATTTTATAAACTCCTTTAGTCGAGTCAAGTGGTTAGTTACATCGCATCGATATTGTGAGTTTTAATTCTAGGCAACCTTTCATTTTCACGCTATATGTTTGTTCAGCGAACAAAACCACCCAAATAAAATATGTATGAGGATGGTAGAGCTTGTGGCGACGTGGATCATGATAATTTTTATGTAAATTTGAAAAGAAGAACCGCCGGTTTCGAGGAACTTAGTTATGCATGACTTAGATAAAACTTTTATCGTACATGCGCTTTGTTATGCCAAAGTATAAGTGTTGTTGTATGATCAGCTGATCCAAACGGGCGTCACGCATTACCGGATTTCTATTGGCTAAATCACTGTGGTGTGAGACTGTGAGTATTTTAATCCGAAAAACTATCCCGGAAAACGAGAGCCTAAAAGAACACCGACAAACACTCAGGTGTCACGAACTCGGCAAACGCGTCAAACTTTATATTTTTATAGCTAAGGAACTAAGAAATGTTACCAAACTGAGTTCAGCGAGCGTTTTCCGGAGATTGCCATGGGTTTTGCCTTTTTTATCGCAACCTGAATTTTATAATTTTAAATCACGCATTTATCGATTTTCAAGCTTTTTTCATGTCATTTCGCATACAGCAAAGTCTCAAAAACTTACAATTTGATCAAAATAGGCTAGAATTATCTTGGAAATTTAGTGCATACCAAAACGTACCGCAATCAACCAAAACTGCAATTTATCAACTAGTCACAAATACCGCGTAGTTTACGATCCATGTCCCGAGGGTAGGTTGATGGAAAACAGAGCCGAATTTTGACAGCTAAGTGCGTCGTCGTACCTGTCAACCAAATGCACAACCATTTGCAAGCCTATTATCTGCCATCTTTTTCCGCTATCTTATTTTTAGCATCATTGCATTTTCTTCCGCAATGGTTGCTATGGGTCTTTTACGCATGACTTTTAAGTCGTTGGGATAAATTTTCACCGTTATAAATAAATCGTAATCTTCGAAAAGAGATTAAATCGAGTTGCATCGATCAATATTTTCTATTGAATAGTTATAACATAAAACAGCCAATGCCATGTTCTGTCGAGTTACTAATGAATAAAACTTCACGATTTTTTTATGTACAGCAATGAAGCGATTGACTGTGTAAAGCGAAGCTTTATAAAATTTTAATATTTGTCAAATAAGTTCGAAATCTATTTACTTATTTAGTGAATCGGAAAGTCAAATATTTTCCTTCCACCAGTGACGCGACGATAGGAAATCATAAACTACCTTATTGAGGTTGTTGTTTGATTCCAAATACTAAACCAGGTGACGTGATGAGTGACGTTATTTTGTTTGGATGTTTGTGACACTCACATGACGGAATCTCAAATATTTGTTTCCTTAAAATTGTGCCAGGCTCAAAGTTTTTATAATAATATCCCCAATATGAGATTTGCTTTACATGAGTTATCGTTCGATAACAATTTATAAATGTACAATATTTTACATAACCTGCCTTTCGGAGTTAGGAATGCAGGTTCTGAATACAAACGGATATTATAAAAAAGCATAATGGAAAGTTGTATTTGATGAAGGCTTCTGACATATTAAACTGACTATAGACTGATTCTAATTTTGATTGCGAAACAGTATATTTCTTTACTCTGTCTGATAACATTGTGGAAAATCTCTCCATATATAGATTAGCGACGAAATGTTTTGCATGCATAGTATTTCTTCAATTATATGTCTAGAAAAAGGCCCTCGAACTCAAATACAGAATCCTTCAAACGCAAAACCATCTGCTTTTTCCGATTAGGCGTGTGTATGCGCCATTTTACGTGAGAATGTTTTTCTTTGCGTTGGTATACCATGCATAAGTGCAAGTCATTGATTATCCGGAACGCCGAGTACAGTTTGTTTTAAAATTTTGCCATTTGTGTTCTTGCATTTTACGGTGCGATTGCCTGGCTACTTTCTGCATTGCCTTTGATTAGTCGAGCGGAAACGCGTTCATTGGGCAACAAAGCTAAAAACACATACTATTGGTACTCAATTTTACACTTTCTAAGAACTGTGTAATACATGGACGCAAAAATAAGCAAAAGTCGTTTTCAGGAATATTTAAGTTAATTCACTATTTTCAATATCAACACCTGGAAAGTTGGATCGAATTTCTTGAAATAACTTGGACAACAAGCTAGAACATTAAACATGCCCATCATTGATAAATCCCGCATTGATATTTTGTGCCAGAGAGTTTACTGCATTATTATTGAGCTTTCTAGCAATGTCTATCACTCGCATGGTATAATTGTCTGGTCTTGTCTGGTCGAAGGCGTCAATAAACAAAGTCTGAATTGCGCCACAAAAGTATTATTCTGAAAATATAATTTAGTCATTTGTCGATTTGACTAATGCTTCGATCAAGCATGTCTGATATATCCCAGATCCTGCTTTTCGAAGACCATGCGCATCAGCCCGATAGCGGCTGAGCGGCCCGCTTCGATGGACCGTACCAAACAGTAAGGGAATATTCACTACTACTTCATCAAATA